CCAATTTCGCAGACAGGAACATGCAGCGAGCTCTATAGAAATCTGGGCGAGGTGCACTCTCACTGCAACACCTTGAACAGTGGTTCAATCTTGGACCTTCCTCAGCCAGCATCGCGTTTTGCATGTCGACAAGTAGTTCCCACACTGATACCAGCCTACTTGCCTAATTGTTCTAGGCCTGTCAGTCAAAGGTGCTCCGTACCTCACTTTGGCTCTAGTGGCCCTCGCGCAAACAGGCACCAGCCCGAGAAACCACTGACAACAAAACCCGCCCCAACCCCGAGCCTTAGCCAAGAACTCCTGCAAGCTGCGGCCAACGGCTCTAGGTGCCCGCCACAATCGTGGCAAACACAGCGGAACGCCACTATTGGACTAGCAAAAACTGCCACTTTTGGAGAGCAAGAGGAAAGTTCAGGGGCACGCAGGTTACAAAATGGCTGCCAACTTGTGAATATAGCGAATTCGGCTCGAGCTCGAATATGTTAAATAATCCAGAGCTGCATGCTCGACGATGTCCTTGTTTTTCTCTCTGTCTCTTTCTACAAACCAGGCTTTGAAAAAGGTTGTCACTCACTTTTTGAGCGACTGCCTTATCTAGGTCCCCCAGTAGAGAGGTTGGAAATAAGGGTACCCTTTTTTTCTGTAGTCTATTTTAGTAGGGGAACCCTCCCCCAAAAACGGGTAAAAGGGCGCTACTGGGGGACCTAGTTATATAATCAGTTGTGTTCATCTTTGCCGACAGGCTAGTCGGCCTCGCAAACAGGCGCTCCTCCTCCCGTTTGGACAGCAGCTCGCTGTTCTCTTCCTTCATTTGGCACTCTTGCCTGCGCGAGCTACTGTGGATGGACGAAATCCTGCACCACTTTGAAACCATGGGAAGCCATTGTTTGTTGGTATTTGCAGGGGAATCATTCAGTCCAGGGTTTCTTAGGTGGTGCAGGATTTTGTCCATCCACAGTAGGTAACCTGTCAGTAGCAATTCGACTCATGCTCGAATGGCACATCTTGAGAGCCGCTTCGAAGGCCATATCCATCTTGTGGCCCAGGCAGTTCTCGTTGCAAATGAAGAGCCCGATCATTTAAGGCACGGTCAAAATGACTTGCTCCCCAACAAGAACATGGGACATTTGGCAAGTCCCCTGGTGTTTGTAGAAAAATCAGTGAGTCCACCCCAAGGTTGACTGCTGCTAACTTCGACCAAACCTGATGTGCCTGATCAACCCTGGCATTAGAAACAACGCCCAGGCTGAGCAGCCATGAGTCAAATGAGTCACATGGAAAGAACCTGCACGCGACATAGAAGCGAGGCAGGTTCACAATGGGCCAAACGGTGAGAATCTTCCTCTGGGTGGATGGTGGACTTGCCGCAAGCGGCCTCCGTGGCAAATATTCTCTCGAGCACGTCTTGCCATTCGCCCTGGGCACGAGGTGCTGCTTAGCGAGGGATCTGATGGAAATGCTTTGTCTAATCATCGTCGAGGTGGCACATGCTGCAGGTTGAGCGCGACGGAAGAAGCTCATTCTGCCTGTTCTGGAAAAAGCCAAAGCTGCTCATGGCTAGCCAACAAGCCCATAAGGCGGCAACCGCAATTGGGCCTGAAGTGGTCAAGAGACCATTCTGTTGGACGTAGGCACGCACGCAGGAATTCAGGCACGCAATCACACAGGCGCGGAGACAGGCGAGCACGCAGGCACGCAGGCATGCAAACAAACCAGCAGGCTTGCAAGAATGGCAGCCCGCCAGCGCATCCAGCGCAAGTGAAAAAAGCAAAGGTTGCAAATCCCAGTGCTTCCGGCTACCACTCCAGTTGCCAGGGATCCTTCCCTTTAGGTTTTACCATGGATGGTCTGCCTTTACCAACAAAAAGCGGCGAAAGGGTCGAAGAATTGAACCCCCCTAGCGATCGGCGCCGGGGCCTCTTGAGCGCTTCCTCCAAGGCGTTCACCTCAGCGTTTGGCGCACGTTTGGGGCTTGGGAGTTCATTGCCGGGGAAAGCCTATATCCTTAAGGTAACCTACAAGTCCCAGTGCTTGATGTTTCTTTTTTTAAACATGCGGCCGTTGCGATCACGCCAGTCCGCTGTTGTAGCGTAAACGATGCCGAAAACAAAAGGAGGTGTCGAAGAAAAATTCCAGTGCTTGGTGTTTCTCCACTTTGGTAGGGAAAACGCGCGTGATGTAAAACCTCGAAGGTAGCTACCCACTATATATTGCGGCTTGCCAAGCACTGGGAGCATGTGGGCATTGAGAATTCGGATTACCGTGTGTTCAAATAGCCTCGGGTTTTCTGGCAGCCTGACAATCAGTACTCCAGCGGTTGGCCGCGAGCAAACAACAACCTAATGTGAATGCATGCCACGGCTCCAAGGGGGTTGATTCGGTGCTGCGCCATTGTCTGAAGGAATAGAGCTAGAATGGTGGGGAGTACTTTCTGATTTGGGTCCCCTTGTTTGGTTTCGGCATGGAGTGGTGTCAAAAGCTCAAAGCGACATTCTACTTGTGCCATGCCCAAAGTTGAGGTTGCAACTGACTTTGACCATTGAAAGTTGGGAACACAAGCCGACTAACTGAGTTGGCAGCCCGACATGGTGTGTTTCCTAAGTTGGGAGGAACCGTCGCTCTTTGTTGCGGGGTTTCTTGGAAGAACACCGACCGTCCCTGCACATCAAGAACTTGCTGTTCGAAGTACAAATGTCGACTCGTGGGGGGTCTAAGTCCTAGACTTCCCATTAGTTTCCCTTCATTCCAGGCTAACATGGAATCGTCAAAGTCTCGTTTCACACAACCGTGGTGAGTGAAGGGGTAAACTTCAAACAAATCCTTCAAACACAAGATGAATGTTGAAGTTCCCAAAAAAAACACCCACACACAAGACAACAACCCTTCCTTCCGTCTCTCCTTGCAGATCCCAATTTTGGGTTTCCAACAACTCGGGCGTCCCAAGCGCGCCGAGCGAGCGCGCGCCCGATGGCCCGCCTCGCGCTTGTGCCGCTCGAAGGCGCCGCTGAGCTGCTGCGCCTGCCCGCTCTGCCGGCCTCCAAAGTCGGAAGCCCGAGATCGGGTGGCAGGTGAGTCATCAAAACCGATCGGTACCAAAATGGTGAACCTAGAACCATGTAAGGAACTGAAAAGACTAACCTTCATTTGCCCGGGTTTTGATTGTGATTCAGGTTGGGTTGGGTTGGGTTAGGTGGGTGGATTGATGGGTTTGGTAGGTTGGGCTAGGAGGTGGGTGGGTGGGTGGGTGGGTTTGGTAGGTAGGGCAGGTTGGGTTGGGGAAGGTAAGGCAAGGTTAGGTAGGTAGGGAGGTATGCATGCACGAGGGGATGGTGGGGATGTGGTAGGTGGGTGGGCGGCTGATTGGTTGATAAAATGGCTACGGACCACGGACAAACATGGGAAAAGTCAAACTTGAGAAGGTTTCCACTGTAAACAAACCCTCCACCAAGGGAACATAAGGTATATGGCCACTATAAAGGGTATATACGGTATAAACTAACAAACATGGGATCCAGGACCCCGGACGGCCGTCAAATGTTCAGTGGGCTATTGGACCTGGGAAAACGTGGGAAAAGGTCAACGCAGTCCTGTGACCTGAGTATAGAAATATAGAAGCCATTCTTAGTGAGGAGTGCGCCAAATACAAGGGCAAAGTGTCCACCGAGCAACGCCAAAGATGGGGAACATTCTGGGACCTGCAACATACCGGATCAAAGCGGCGTGAGCAAGTACAGCCGTGTGCGCATTAGTCGGGTGGGTTTACACGACAATCTCTATGTAAGTAACAAAGTCCAGCTTAAAAGCCTCGTGGTCCAAACCCTCGATTTTCCAGGACCGGTCACATTGCGTCTTTTCCGCCCAAACAGCAAGCGCCATTCAAGGAAAACTCAGTCAAATGCCGACGCAATGTGCTGCAATGTTTGACCCTTCCAAAGGAGAATATGAACCTGGCCTCAATTTGCACTTTTGCCCTTACTACCGGGGCCGGGGGGTCCTGGGTGTGAGGGTTTGGACATTTGGAAGGCTGAACTGTAACCTTCGGCGCGGGATAGGATCCCCCTCTGAAACCGGATCGTTGCCTTCCGCATCTCCTCCCAAAACCACAGCCCAAGACCCGCGCGGACCCGCCTTCCATCTCCAGCAGCAGCCCGTTGAGGCGCTCCTTCTCTGCCTGCGACAGGTGCAGCCGGCGAGTGGAAAACGGAAGCCGCTTCTTCTGTGGGGAAAGCAGGAACGTGTTTGGGACGGAAAGAAGGAGGACCCTTTCGGATGGGGGGGGGTCCATATTTTGGTTGGTTGATTCCACTTTGTGGGAGGAACAGGGACCATTTTTGGTTTGATGCCATATTGAGCGGGAAAAAGGTCACCCTTTTTGGGGTGATTCTAACGTGAGACAGTGAAAGAAACCTGGGGAGCCACCACAAAAAACGATTGAGAACAGCACTAACAACTGGGAGTGTGCGTCAAACATACTTGATCAAACATCGACAAAAAGATGTTCCATTGTCCAAATGAATGGCTAGACAATGCTATAGAACGAGGGGGCCGGCACCAACAGCACCATCCGGGCTCACGTGATGGTGCGCAACAACAACCTCCCCCAAGTTTAGCGCTTTCTGCACAAAGCTTGGGCCCGGGCAACAACTACCTGCCTCAAGCTTGGGCGGCGTTTCGTGAAATCGGGCGCCGGCACGACAGCAACACTCCGGAAACCTTCAACGGCGACAGCACAAGCTCTCGGCCCAAGCACGGGAAGCACAAAAGCTTGGCGGAAGCCCCGCCAAAGGCATGGTGTTGCCATAACCAGGGCCGCTGGGCCGCATGTTGCAACCTCGGCAGCCAGCCCACCAGGGCCTTCGCAGCAGAAACTGCGGCAAATCCCACACGACTTGTTCAGCACCTTGGGGTGGCCCGGCCGAATGACGGGGACTGCCAACAGGGGTGCTGATGCACAAATACTAGCACAACCACCACGGCGGTTGTAACTCAGTTCGGTTACCATCGGTGGCAACTCACTGGCCCCGGCAGCAAACAGTTGCACGACGTGAGGCATTTGGGTGTCTTTTTCCAGGCTCACTCACTAAAGGGCAGCAGGCTTTGTTTTCCACCTGCTTGATGTCAAAAAGGGGCTCCGGGAATCAAAGCATCGGGCCAGGAAACTCCACAAAATGCAACTTACGCCACATGGCTCCGCTGCTTCAGCCAGTAAGCCGTGCCAATGCCACGGGTGCCTCGAGCGCTGAAGATCTGCCGAGGCAACATCTGGGCCGAGACTACGTGCTCGACTTTGGTCAAGACGAGCTCATCTTATATCATTTTCAGTTGATGGCGACGGTATCAGATGTTCCCCAAGGTTGACCCAAACTAGGAGTCCTTTTTCGGGTCGATCTTTACCAGGACCAAAGAGCAACCAAACCATGTGGGATGGACGTGGAGGGTGCCTACTTTTGACACACGTCTTTTGATGGGCTTGCAGGTTGGTGCTTTAAACAAACACAAACGCACACACACACACACACTCACACACTCAAACCTAAATCCATGCTCCTCCCAAAGCTTGCTCTTCCTTCTGTGGGCATAGACTAGAGAACCCTCAGAGTGTTGTGGGAGATTCAGTGTCCCCCATGTCCCTCCCAAATGGACCATGGCCTGGATTTTTGACCGAACTCCTCGGTCCTTCCGAACGCATTGCATCCGGGCCTGACATCGACGGACCTCGTTCTGCCACCGCTCTGCCATCCTCTCTGCATCCTGCCGGAGGGTTTAGGGGTGTCTCCCAACTTGGGATCAAAACAAAAGGTTTTGTATTCTGGGCACGGGGTCAGCACAGGGACCCACAATCCACACTTGGTTCTTTGGAGGCTAAGAGTCTTCCCACTTGAGCCTTGATCTCAATAATAACTGTACCTGAGCGGTCTTCCCTCCCAAAGCAAGCTCGGAGAACGGCTGTCGAAGGGGGCATCCATTTATGGGCATGCCGGATTCAATGTGTCTGATCAATGGTTTGCCCGCCTGAAATCAGATCCGACTGGGGACACCAACCGGGGGGGTGTTCATCCAAAGTCAACAATGAGTAATTAGCTACCAAACCGCCACAATCAGGAGGGGAAATTCGCTCAATTGCCAGATTGATAAACAATCGTACCTTGCCATGTTCCCCAAGTCTCTCAAGTCAATGATAGTGAAAGCTGCGTCTGTGTCGCGAGACATGTGAAAGCTTCACGTCACCCTGCGACGACTCAACCACTTTATTTGTTCATTTGGCCGTGTTTTACCGTATGGCCGTTTTCTTCGGTCATTTGCGTATAGGGCCCCTATACTTTTTGGACAAATCCAGATTATGTCAACCCAACCGCTTAACCAAAGAACAACTGCTCAAAGATCAGGGCAGTCTCTGTGGCGCCTGCTGTTTCTTCTCCGCCGCAGACGCATTGGCCTGACGCTCCTTCACGTACTGCTGCACCTCGGGCAGCAACCGCTGGGAAGTGGCTGGTCTTGTACAGGTGATGTTTCTATCCCTGCCCCTTTGCGGAACTCGGAAACACTATTCCCAACAAATAAACATAGTATGTCCAAACAAAGGACAAGCATGGTCTTGACATGTCCTACCCTCAATCAGACCAAAGGACGCCCTGGACAAGACCTCATTTTGCTGATGCACAAAACGGGCAAAGGTGTCACCTGGAACAAAAGTTAGCTTCTTGGTCAAGGACATTTGTTGGCTGAGCGTTTTTGGTGTGCGAGGATAGTAGATTGTTGGACTAGGTGAAGCTGTCGTCTGTGACTGATGGAACGTGTCACCGTAAATCTCTCGTAGTTTTGGCACACTGCCCTAGAACAGCAGATGTTTGGCTCAACCGGACGTGCGGAAATAGGCGGCAACCCTTGTCGTGCTAGCTCATGCGTGGCAAACCTACTAGGATAAAAGGGGCAAAGAAAAAGGCAGCCGGCCACAACTTTTGAGCAAACATCCAACCTTTCGGAGACTTTATGAAAAAACCATTGCTTTCCACAAGACCTCACCAGCCGGATGCCCGAAAATCCCGCCAGGTGTCCGTTTCAATTCGATCCAAAGAAGGGGCGGAGCGGCTCGGGCTCCGAACGGCTCCGAAGTATCACAGGGGCTTGGCTTTTGGGACATTGCCATAGGACCACTTGTGCCCAACAGAGCACATCTCGTATAGGATCCAAGCCCGCCGTCTCCACCTTAAAGCCTCACTAAAGGTTGGTTTCTTGACAAACCAGGGGGGTAAAGAGGGAGCTGGGATGCCATGCTCGGGATGGACTTTTCCGAACCCCCCGAGCCGTACCGTAAATTTGGCCCAAAGGGCCCATGTCCGAGGCAAGGGCGCGCTCGATCTTTTGGCTCATCTCCAGCCTAGGTAAGGGTACCCTTCTTTCTTTAGTCTATTCTGGTAGGGGAACCGTCCCAAAAAAAGGGTGAAAGGTCACTACTGGGGGACCTAGCAACAGACAACTAACCACCTGGATTATGGGGAAAACGTCAAGGAACCAACCACCCGCATGTTGTAAGAATTTTCGGAAAGCCATCAGACAACCAAACCGGGTCCAGGTCGAGGAATCAATCCCAATGTTCGCAGACCTGCGAGTCGCCTACGTGAAGGCTTCGTTTACACACCAAAAACAACAGTTGAAAGCGTGTCTGTGCATTTCTGCTTACCATGTACTCGAGATGGTCATATGGCCATGAATCATGAGCAAGGAGCGAGGAAGAAACTACGCTAAATAAGCCCAGTGCTTGCAGCTAAGCCACTATAGGAACCATGTCAGGCTACCTGTAGGCTTTACATCGTGGTTTTCTCCTGGTTACCCGTCGCATTCATGAGGAGGAATCCTACACTCGTGTTGTGTGTGCTTTCTTGATTTTCCGGCCCCTCCTTCTTTGGGGTGGGTGTAATTAACATGCATATTTCTAGCAAGGAGGTGTTTAAGGACGGCACACCCTGCAAACAATGACCACATTAAATCATGTTACTCTGTCAGGGTGAAAGAGTTGCATGGATGGATGCCAGGCAAGTCAGGTCGCATGGATGTTGCGGAATCATGTTGAGCTACCATTGCTTGGCAAGCATGATGTACCGGCCATGACGTCAGAAAGCTCGGGTTTGACGCCAATCTCGGGTGGTCCCGGGAAAAAAAACTCAGCTCCACCACCCAAATCCCAAAACCCCACTGTCCAGAGCCAGGGCCATATTTGCCACCCAAACAGGCACCAAGGGAAAGGGTTGATTCATCGTGTCTGACACTTCCCAAAGTAACATTCACTGCCGAAAACAGCGCCTACTCCCAGATTCTTGAAGCAACCTGCTTGCCTGCCTCCAAACATGGCAAAACATAAGCACCCCTCGCAAGCCGTCTGAAATGGTTCACGGCTAGGGCCCCGCACTCTTGTTCATCCATCATCGTCCTGCAAGGCCGAAGAAAAGCCCGGGGTTTCAAGTCAAAATTTGCAGGCCGCAAAAACAACATGGAGGCGTTTGTTGAAAGGGCGAGGTATATTGTACAAAAATTGGTGGGTGGATGTTCCCCTGAGTGCGGCTCTTGAACGGCACAAAAAGAAGGCAGGAGATGTGCCAAATTGGTCGGGGAACCAACCACGGTTGCTTACATGTCCGTTTATGTCCAAAACACCCAAACAGGGATTGACCCTGACAAGCGAAAACAGAAACAAAGTGCATGTAGGCTTCGCGGTGCAATCTCAATACAACAACGTTGCGGATGTTGCTGGCCGCTGATATCAAAACCGGACTGGCCATCTGTGTTGCCGGAGGGGCTTATTTCCAACCTGCAGAGCAAGGCCACGAAAGTCAGGCGCCAAAGATCCAATAAGGAAGGAGTTGCATCATGGGTGACCCCAAGTCAGCTCTTGATAATTTGTCCAAACGTATCCTGGTGCCTGGCAGCCAAACTTGAGCGTTAAGCTTGCTTGCAAACTCAGGGGGGTCCCACCTCAATGCGCACGAGCACTTCCCCCCGGAAAAGGGACTACCGTTTTGGCTAGCAAGAACAAAAAAGGGAGGTCAACATAGCCAAACTTCGCTGGCGGGTTCCTAAAAGCAAACCAAAGGGTTGCAAGGAGCCCACTAGTATTGGCGACCGCCTCTTCTGGTGTTTTCTGAATCTGCGCTGTCCTCATCTTTTCTAGCTTCTCTGCTCGCTCAAAGCCTGAAGCCGAAGCAACGGTCTTGCACGAGCAGGTGACTGAGAAACAAGTATATATATATATATATCCGTTGCTTTTTTCAACCTGACTCAATAAGTAGCTGTTGCCAATCAACAGCAACAATCCAAATGATATAGTGTTCTTCGCACGACGCCGGCAGGCCAGCGTTGCCAAAATTGTCAAACATGTATCATGGCTCCATGCCTGTGTGGGCGCTTGCGTGCGTGCGTGCGTGTGTCTTGTGTGACTCTGCGTGTCAGTGTGTGTGTGTGTGCCTGCGACCCACGCATGGTTACACTAGTTTGTGAATGTGTACATATGCACAAGCTGTACTCAAACACGCAAGTGCGTGTTTGTGTGCGGCGGTGCTTTGCCTGCACGTGCGTATGTGCGTGACGCCGCAGATATACATTGCCGAGCTACCAAGCTGCAAACCACCCGTGCTTTTAGTGCCAGGCTGACAGGTGCTAACAGAATATTGATGTGTCAAATGGGAAACCTCAAGTGAACCAAGGATTTTGTGAATTCTCTACGATTCCTTGAAACAGGTACGGCAAGCAATGCAACTATATATATATATGTATACATATGAACCATGATAATGTGCTGCAGTACATCAAGCAGATGCGGCAAACACACTCACAAAACTTCCCGGAGGAGTTCGGGGGTGTTGGGGTAGGGAGGCGGTACTCACCAAAATCCAATGTTAGTACATGACACAATTAATATCAACCATGGCTCGCATGCTTCAATTCACAACTTTGAACATATGAGGGTTTCCGTAAAACACTGAGGAAAAAAAGCGGCGATCCCTCCGCTTCCGCGCCGCTTCCGCGGCGCAAAGCGTACCTTCTGCAGCATCCATAGCTGCGAATGCTCTTCATCTGCTCTGGTCAGCTGTGAAATTGCGATTGGTTATTCAGCAGATCCAGACCTAGGCATCTCCTTAGAAGATCTCGAGAACATTCCGGGACAGGCTCTTGGTTCCAGTTTGCGGGCTATGCCAGCGATATAGGCATTGTTTGGGCATCGTTCGGGGCATCGTTTAAGCCAAACCGTTTTCTTGTCCAGGCATGGTCAGTTTGATTTGTACAGCAGCTAATGAGTCGGGTATCGGTTGGGCATCGGTTTGGGTGTCGGTTTGGGCCCTGCAAATGTATGATTCCGCAACCTTGGTTTGCGACAACAGCTTGGACCTGATGGCCGACCTGATGTGTGTCTTGATGGCTTCTGGGGGTATCGTTTTTTCCTCTGTGTACGCGTCGGGCACTTTCCGAGCTCCGGCTCGAGAATCGCAAATTTAGTACAAATGTAGTACGCGAAGGCCACTTTCTCAGCTCCAGCTCGTTGCTCTGGAACTTTCATACACAGATGTAGTACGCGAGGTGCACTTTCCGAGATCCAGCTTGAGAATCGTAACTTTTCGGTACAAGCGTGTAACATGTTTAAAGGCAAGCCAATAGTTTGAAAGAACATAACAGGTCGCAGCTTCCGCGCCGCTTCCGCGGAGCTTCCGCGGCCTGCGTTTCACTTACTTACCAACATAACCACCGCCACTAGCCACTAAAAAACGAATACAGCTATTTACGGAAAGCCTCATATGGGAGCATAAACTGCAACCGATCAATGGCGTTCACATGGATTCCCAAACAACGGCTGTGCATAAGTGGTTGAATATTGTCCTTGCTGCTTCTGTGCAATCATCTCCCAATCGCACTCTGTCAAGTTGCATTCTGTCTTAAGGTCAGTCATGCTTCACTCAAAGCAACATGCAACGCAAAGCGGACTCAAATGACTTGTACAAATCTGAACTCAAAGTGTTTCAAGTTTCCCTCCGCATTTCAACTGCAAAGGTCGCACAAGGAGCCAACGGTACTGTCCCCCGCCTGATGCTTCGCCCTTTGAAAGCCCAACGCTGTAAGACTGGCAAAGCAGGCATCGAGGTCGGTGCATCGCTTTTCCAGTTCGTCTCCTCGTTCCAGGGCTTCGTCTAAGGACCTGAGCCGCAGTTCTCTTTGATGGGTCTGTTGAGTCTCCCCCACACAGGGACCCCCAAACAAAAAGCGTCCAAAACGATTGGGGATTGGGGGCCATGTTCGTTGTCTCCGATTTCAGACACCCAGATGGTGGCCATGTGTCACAACAGGGCCCACCGCCGAAATTTGCGGCTTTCCTTGTTCCCCTGACAACCACCAACCCAAAAAGGGGCCTCAAACGAGACACCCATGTGTGATTCATTCCTTGACAGGACCCCTCTCCCCAAGCTGTCCGCGCCTCTGCAGGCCGTCGACTCGAGACACAGCCTCGTCCCGCGTGCGCACCAGCTCCTGGCGTTCGTGAGGATGCCGATAAACCCTTTTGAGACGTGGACTGACCAATGAGAGGTCAGAAGAACCTGGTTGTATAGTGTTCCATTAAAAAAAAGATATACATATTATACATACCTATTTTTTCATATGCAGTCCCCCCAACAAAAACAACTAGGTGCTCTCACGAGTGCCCAATGTGGATTGATGCACTTGCATGCCATTCCAAAAAAAGAAACTGACGTTTTTGCGGAGCTTCAAACAAGGGGAGTTGCAAATAAGGATGGACAAACAGACCTATTTTAGGATTCTTTCATTTCTCGGTTAGCAGATGAGGACAGCTGTCCGAATTTGCTGGATCCCGAGTCTGGAGTCAACGAGTTAAGTCGTGCACAATGCAACACACACAGGCATGCGAGTGCAAAGTGTGTTCTTGCGCTAAGTCACTCAGCATTGGTGTGGTAATACGTGAGCATAAATTGAGAATAGTAAAGCATTACCTGCGAGTGTACAAGCAGTATTTGTTAGTTTGCATAGGTTAAGTTCTGTGTTCCTAGTCTAGTCTCAGCATTGAGTAGCACTTCAGCAGTTCTTAGTAGAAGATCAGCTCAATATTAACTTCGTGTTGGTCCAGCATTGATGCTTCCAATGTGGATTTGTAATCTTAAACCTTGGTGTTCCCGCTCGTAGATAAAGTTCGAAAGAAATGGGGAAAAAAGCCAGCAGAAAGGACATATACACATACATATATATATATATATTGTAAGTAGACGATGTGGGCTACTTGCAGGTGTCCTTTGTTGACTTTCTCTCCGGAAAAAAAAAAGTTGGAGCCTAGAAAAATACAAAACACAAGTTCCAGTACAAAGCAAAACAGCCAAGAGTCAAATGGTGTTTGCTTCTGGCAGCGCTACGTTATTACTTTTTGCTGGGAGGAACAACTTGGGACCTGTGAACAGCAACATGTAAATCAGCTTGCAGTCCACACAGCTTTTCACAGGTCTAGTTTGTTATTTGTTTGCTTTTACCAGGAAAAGGTAAAAAGCAAGTAAACAGCCAATAGAAAAGCCCTGCTTTCTCATTTTACTTTTCGTGTGTCTAAACGGTTTACTGTCTCACCGATGTAGTTTTAGTGGGGGAAAGTGGGCAAGCAAACCTGACAAAAGCACAACAAGGGCTATTTTGTGCAGGGAGGTGTTCACTTGTTTGCTCTACGCAAACAAACAAACACACCAACACACCAACAAACAAACAAACAAACAAACAAACAAACAAACAAACAAGCATAAACAACAACATAAACAACTACACAAACAAACAAATAATAAACAAGCAAGCAAGCAGCAAACAAACAGACAAACAAACATACAAACATACAAACGACAGACAGACAGACAGACAGACAGACAGACAGACAGACAGACAGACAGACAGACAGACAGACAGACAGACAAACAGACGGACAGACGGACAGACGGACAAACAAACAAAACACAAAAACAACAAACAAACAAACAAAAAATAAACAAGCAAGCAAGCAAGCAAGCAAACAAACACACAAACAAACAAACAACGCACACACACGAACAAAAGAAACACAAGAATCAATCGATCAATCAATCAATCGATCTATCAATCAATCAAACAAATAAATAAATGAATAAATAGACAAACAAACAAACAAATAAACAAATAAATAAATAAACAAACAAACAAATAATAAAAAAAATAAAAATAAAAAAATCAATCAATCAATCAATCAATCAACCAATCAACCAACCAACCAACCAACCATCAATCAATCAATCAATCAATCAATCAATCAATCAAACAAACAAACAAAGAACCAAAGCAAAGCAATAAAAAAATAATGTCATTTGGGGGAACCAAAGTCAGGGTGCCCTGTAAGTGTTTGGGCTGTGGGGCTTGGCATTTTCATGCGGTACTCCTCACGCTCGGCGCTGCGCTCGTAGTCCAGCCGCCTCTGAGCCGCCTGAGACATGGGAAGCAGGTGGCAACCCTCGTTGAATTGGAATACACGTCAAGCATCGTCAAGCAGCCTTTGCTACAAATAGTAGGTGAACCTGATAGTCGGAGAGTAGATAAGTGTAATTTTGCCGGGTACCCTTTTCACCTTGGGAAGGGACACCAAAGGAACACCACCATTTTTGGCCTCCCTTATTTTAACACATTCCCAAAGGGGAACAGGCTTGGATCGAATTGCTTTGCCATTGCCCGCAATTGGTGGCTTGGATCAGGGTATTTACTTAGCCCCTATATGGCTGTGGCTCAAAAAACCGGTACCAAATTGGAACCCTGGTAAGTGGAAACATGGACCAACACCTGCGTAACCCCCCCTTTGAGCCACACCCATATCGCACCATCTTCCTTCGGCATTCGCTACCCGTGCAACCCGAAAGCCGCCTCCATCTGCTCCAGTTTGGCCGCCTCAGCGGGCTGAACAACTTGTCGAGGGCGTTTGGGTCGCGACCAAACGTGCGACAAACACGTGGGGAAAAAGCGAGATTGGTAAATTGAAAGCTATTTTGGGGCTGTGAACCGGCTGTTTGAACAAATGTACAATTCTCAATCATTCGCTCCAGGTACTGAAAACCCTGAAGGGCAAGTACTCACAATTGTTGAAATAGGAGTGGTTTGACAGGGAGCCCCCCCCCGCTCGCTCTGCAATACAGCCAAGGTCTCAGTCTGCTTGCCGCCGTGCCAGGAAGCTCACATCCGCAAGCAATGTTCAAAGTTACTTCTCGAAACTGGGCTGCCTTCAGATCCCGCTAAAAGTTCAAATGGAAACTACCACTAAACACTAAAAGGCTAAAAAAGCTCAAGAACCGGATGGCTGGGAGCCACCAAGGAAAAGGGTATTCTCACACAAAGCTGCAAGGGACCAAGTTGCATGAGCTCACCTATGGGCAGTGCCCAAACAACCCAAAACGCTATTTGGCCTCGCTGGAGGGGTGGTCCTCTGGTGGTAAACACTGGCTCTGTTGGTTCCCTGGACACCTTCAAAGCCAGCCCAACAAAGGGATCCCTGCTGCGGATGGACAAATTCCTGCACCAGTCTAAAATCCTATTGGGGAAAACCGCCTACTATCTGCGGTTTGTCCATTCGCAGCCCAACAAGTTTACATAGATAGCGTCCTGGTCTGTTGGTTTCCTTTTGTTCCTTCACTACCAGCCTCAAAAAAGCTCGGTTGCTTTCTGCTCCCCTGCTACAAGTTCAACTGTTGGTGGTTTTTAATGGAAAACCCCGTTGGTTGGCAAAAAGCTAAAGTTCTATCATCCCTTGGCAAAATGCACCAAAGAAAGGCTTCCCGAAATAATTTTAGACCGACCCGTTGTCTCCGTCTCTTTGGCCATCGGGCCAGAAGCTCGGACTGCTCCGAAGATCCGCTGGCCTGCTCCTTGAGAGCCTGGAAGCGGCGAATGTCCGGCCAGCCAGCCCGAATCTTCCGGTTGACTCACTCACACCCATGCCAAGGCTTGCAACAATGGAGTTTGAGTTTACAGGGTCAAAAGGCATCGCGGAGAGTGAGATGCGAGACCTGCAGGCGCAAAGACGGTCAGCAAGGCGAACAGAGTCAACGGAAACTCCACCATTTAAATCCCTCCTTTCCCCGGGTGAGGCCTTGTGGGTGGTTGTCGATACCAGTTTCAGAAGCATGCTGTGCTGCCTGATTCTTGTTGTTGTTTCGGACACAAAGCCATGAAGATCGACCCCAAACCTCACCTTGATCTCCTCACTCAGGGTGGCCTGCCAAAGCGAACGAGAAACTCGCGTCACTTGGTATGCAAGCTGTCGACTCTATGAACCTCTTCAGCTATGTCCCTGAAAGCAAACGACAACATGCTCGTGCCTTTCGAGGTTTCGCTATTGCGCTATGAGTCTGGGCCATTCGCCAGCCCAAAAGAAACATGCACAACGAGGGACTCACCCAGCAAACGCTGAGTTTGCAAAATGTCATGGCAATGTCCTCTAGTCTTTCCACCATCAGCATGGAGGACTGGGTGATGCACAACATCTTAAGACCACTGTAATTCATGTGACCTCGCCAAAAGGCTGTGGCCTCCAGGATTCCCACTGCCGCAAATGTGTCAAAACATGTTCTCCAAATGGTCTTAAATCGGGATCACTGGATTCCCCCAATCAACAGCTGGGTTCCAATGGCAAAAGTTCACTGAGGAAACGTTGGGTCAGTTCAATTCCATGCCTTCGCGCCCTCCTTCTGCTCAACTTCGCTGCGGAGGGCCTGGGTTGTCGAAGTGCTTACGACTCGCGAGCAAACCTGGACAATAAAACCAAAACCATGCAGTTTTTCGCACAAGTGCATCACATCCGATGCAAGCCACCCAGGGTTCGCCCACGCTGGCGGCTGTCGGGCATTGCTGGCAGCAAGAGCCAGGAATACACCTAAATCAGGCGAACATTGATAAGACTAACATGGCTACGAACACAAGTCACGAGGTTGCCAACGCTTCATTAGATTCTCTGTTGGTCTTTGACCAGCTGCCACAAACACATGTTTGCTTGTTTGTTTGGTGACACTATATCATCCTCCAAATGTCAATTGGTTGCCCTTTCTGCAACAGCGTGAAAGCTGACAACTTTCCGAGAAACCCTCCTATCCAGTTCCATTGTTGAAAAGGGCTAAAGGTCGAAGTAAAAGGCACCTCTCGTTGACAACCATGCCCAGCAGCCTCGAGTTCCCTCTGCAGCGCAGCAATCTGCTCGTCACGCCTCGGCGCTGCCATCATTCATCTGCGATGTCACATGAGCCGGTGATCTTAAAGCCAAGAGGCCAAAAAAAAAGGGTCCCAAAACAAAGATGCAAGAGAACCCTTTCCAATGAAAACAAATGTCAAGGGACACCCCAAAAAAGGAAAAAGATTGTCCTTGAGCGCCGGGCTGCTCCAGCTGCCTCTGCTGGCCCTGCTCTACCTTCCCGTCAGACTGGGAGACGACTGGGAGACTAAGCCCGAACGGCAAACCAAGGGCACCCTTTTTACTTGGTTGATGCCATTTCAGTGAAAACCCAACAGAGATTCAGAGGGTGGTGAAGAACTGGGGTTGGCCAAGGACAAAAACATGAGCCAATGATTTGGCCGTGGCTCAAAACATGGTACCCAGAATGGCAGCTTGGATCTGGAAGCAAGATTAAAACCTGCGTAACCCCAGCTTTGTTTTTTTTGGCCACGCTGATTCGGAGGAGTAAGCACATTTTTCACATAGGATTCCCTGACCTTGAACAAGGCCCCCTTGGTAGAACAATCCCGCCAGAAACGGCACGGGGTGGGGGACTCCCGTTTTCTCCAACCAAAGAGAAAAAGGTCAACGTCCTTAAGAACTCTCAAAAGAAAACAGAACAAAGCTCCATCTTAATCAAGAGTTTCAAGAGGGGGCCATAGCTGTCCACCCAAAGGTGGAAAATCTTGCAACCAACACATCAAGAACCAGTGCAGCTAGAAAATCATAAAATTGACAGGACGAAGCCGCAGACCGACCCGTTTTCTTGGTTTCCCTCTTGGTTGGCTTGCGTTCCCCCTTCTCCCAGGTGTGTGTGTGTGTGCCTTTCATGTTGACCCGGAGAGAATAAGCCTGGCAAAATTATAGGGGTGTGTTTCCTGGAAAAGCGAAGGAGCACTTCCTCCCTGAAATTACCTGTTCATCCACCAGGGTTGACAAATCCCAGACCAATATGGATAGTTGAACATTGAATTGGGATTGGGGATTGGGGATTCGGCCCAACCCCAAATCCCCAATCCGCAATCCTTTGGATGGCATCACGTACATGCGGTGTGTGTCCACCAACCCTGTTTGAGGGTGCCCCCAGTCAAGCATTGTAGCCATAATATGGGACTATTATAGTCTCCTATCATACCCCGTTTTGTTGCAGGAAGCCAAAATTAAAAGGCAAGTCGCATTTTTAATGAGGCCGCCTATTCCACGACACACCAAGCTTGCCAACTGACTATAGTTCCCAAACTGCAACCCTTAGCAGTCAAGAATAATCATCATGCGTGAGCTCTCGTAATTCCACACCCCCTCACCGACCCCTTCCTGCATGGTGGTGCACACTGAAAGTCTTATTCTGCAACCCCCTTATTCTGCATCCCCTCCCCCGTATGGTATCGGTTGTTTGGAGTTATTTGCTGCGAAATACGGGTGTACCCCCAAATAGTGGTTTGTGCATTTAATGTCCCTTCAAGCCAACCTGAAAAACACAAAAACTTATGTCCCTTCAAGCTTTAACCCAAAAAAAAAACGCGTCAAACAAATACAAAAAGGAAAAACAAGAAAAAAACACATCCAACTCGCCTAAGCCTCCACCCCGCCTGCGCGGCTCGCATCTGGAACTGCCTTTGCTGCTCCTGCAGGGCTTCCGCCATCTCCCGCGCCTCAGCGCCGGGTTTCTGGGCGCCGTTTGGGGGGGGGGGCAACATGAAACCGGTACCAAAATGGAACCCTGGTAAGTGGAAACATGGACCAAAACCTGCGTAACCCCTTCTGAGCCACACCCATATGGCTGTGGGTCAAAACTAGTTGCTAACCCCAAAATGGCTTGCGGTAAATGGAAAGACTAAAACCTGCGGTTTTGCTGGTGGCTGAATTTTGACCCACACCCATGTGTTGACCCATTCGCCCCATGCGCCCAAAACGCCACACTTGACAGGGTCCAACTTGAGTTTCACCCAAAGAGGGGGTCAAAAGGAAAATCCTGGATCTGTCAACCGTTTGCGCTGAGCGGATTGGCGCTAAAGCTCTCTCTCTCTCTCTCTCTCTCTCTGTGGGACATTCTTCACACCACAATGGCTGAAAAGAGTGGAAGTTTGAGGGATGCCCGTGCAATGGGTTCCAGATGGGTGTGATTGCAATTCAAAGGGTGTCCCTTATACAGCGTCCATGATTGGCATAAGCAACTCAAGGCTCGGCATGCAACACAAGTCAGCGATTTAGTCCCAGCATTTTGCAAGCAAAGTGGGAACAAGTCGCCCTGTGAGAGGCCTGCCGGAGGCCAATGAACCCAGAAAACCCAACGGCAAAGCAACATGTGCTTGTGCCACGCATGCAAGCAAACTGCAAACCCCGTTTTAACCGGGCAGCACTGTATGTCCAAGGTGCTAAAAGGAGGCAAACACTATTTGGATAGACTGACGTGGGTGTGGCTCAAAACCCCGGTTAGCCCCCAGTGAACATCCCAATCCAACCACTAAAATAGGTTCTAAAATGGGTGGTGAATTCACCTGCCCAAAAATGGGATCCCACAACGGTTGTGACAACCACAGCCACATGGGCAATGGGCAGCCGCATGACGAGCCCTTCGTGCCTTCGCTTCTTGCGTGGACTCAAAGGCTTTGGTGGCCTGGCCACTTGGTGACCATTGTGGGCGTTGCACCAAACTTGTCATCCGGGCTGGAAGGGGGGGGGAAGGATTTGTGGCAAAAGGTCTCTGTTGGCTGAAGAGAGGGGGGTGCATTTGTGGCACAAGGTCTCTATTTCCAAACAGTCCAAAGTGAACAAACAACTGGCAACCTAGGAGTGGATTGTCACACATACGTTCGCCTTGTCGAAAGCAGCGTCAATTTCATGGCCTGCAACTAGGCAGGCACGACACGTGAGCCCCTCATTTTGTCCCATGCCCACCTGAGCAAAACTTGCTTCGTCCAGCGGCTGGAAAGCACAGCTGAACATCCGACACGGCTCTACATCGCACAGCTTCGACTGCCGGAAACCAATTAAAAAACAGGACAGATTTAGACAGATCTAGTGGTGGAAAACATTGTGAGTTTGAATATTCCCTGGACAGGGTGACGGAGGGGCAATGTCAACTTTGCGTTCACTGTTCGAGGGTGAGTCTATTCGTTTGTGTTTTTTTTTTGGGAGGGGGGATGAGGGCGATTGGTTTTCAAAGGTGCTTGGGGCCCAACACGATACCTGGGTTCTCTTTGGTTTCGAGCCCAGCCGAAGACGAGCCCAGCTCTTTCCGACGCCGGACGCGCCTTCCGCCACAGGCGATTGATGCGATGCAGCACCGGCGGCCCCGGAAGCTCGGCGTCGTAGGCCTGGCGAATTGAGGTGGCCTTTTCACTTTTCACCCTTGGTGCCGAGGCAAACCCAAAAGGAGAACCATGATAGTTAACCCCCGTATTTTGGACACATACCCATATATATATATATATTGATATATGGATGTCCAAACCCATGCCATGTTGGTGTTGCTTGAAAACAAGCCACTCAAGAGATCGGCTTCAGTGCAGAACCCCACAGCACAACTTTAACTTCAACATGGAGGTCGCATCTACAAAAAGTGAACGCCCTGTGCCAAGTCGGAGGTCGCAAAACTGATTTCAGGCTCAGAGCAGGGGAGGCCTTGGGAGATGCGCAGGAGGGCAAGAGCTTCGATTAGAGGACGCTCAGAAGTCCACCAACCACTTTTGAGGGGGATCCCCACTGAAATTCATAGCCATATTGTGGCTGCGAACATTCAATTGGGAACCAGCTCAAACAACTCGAATGAAAATGATGGTGTTGACCCCGGATGAAACATTACCTGAGTAATGAATGGAGGATACAACCCAAGATAAAAGAACTCGTGTACTCCTGGGGAAAACACCCCCAGTGACTTCACAAGGACTACTGTAAATCGAGAGCCAGCATTTGGACCAAAGTGCAACTCAAACAGACTCTGCAGCAAAAAGTGACTATGACTGAAAGACCCGTCCGCGTTAGCACAAACGGGAAAGAAGGAGAGCCGTTTGTCTGCTGATTTTGCTGAGGACCCACCTAAAAAACAGGAGTGATACTGGCTAACTTCGGATAGAAACAAACGGAGAAAAAGCGAATCAAGCACGGCGGCTAGCACATCGCTCGGCTCTATTTTGCCCGGCGGCGCTCGCGTCCCCAAGCCGGCTGCAGACAAGCTCTCTACGAGCGCTGGATACATTTTTCAAACAACTAGGTTGTCCTAGACTTGGAAGACAGTCTTGGAGAGTTCTCAAAGAAAAGTAGGTGTAGGTACTTACACCCCTGGCCCCCCTCACCTGTTCTGTTTGTTTTTAAGGCTTCTGATGCACCAATCTTGTTGTTGGGGGGTATCCGACTGAAGGAAACATTCATTGTATTCAACAGCTGTCTAGCAACTGGGTAGTTGGACCACCGCCCACAGCCGCCCGTGGGACGAACTCCATTTTTTGTGCTTTTTGTGTTTGAACTCCATTTTTCTGTGTTTTTTGTCCTTTCTTGATTTTTTGGTGTGCTGGGGGGGGGGGGGGGGTTGGGGGGGGACTGATTACATCACTTCTTCGGGCTTGCTTGACAAGAACTTCTTTATTTCCTGTTTCTGTGGGGTGTGTGATGTTCTTCGTTAGCCTGCTGAGCTGTTGTTTTGCTCTAGCTTCTTGTGCCCAAGCCAGGGGTAGGCATCAAAAAAATCTTATTAGGCAACAACAAAAAACTTATTAGGCATCAGCAAAAAACCTTATTAGACAACTTATGCTCATTCCTATGGGGGGAAGGAAGGAAGGAAGGAAGGAAGGAAGGAAGGAAGGAAGGAAGGAAGGAAGGAAGGAAGGAAGGAAGGAAGGAAGGAAGGAAGGAAGGAACCCCCCCCAACCGAAAAATAGCTCATTTTCAGCCCACGAATGCATTCCTGGGCCCCGTACGTGGTCCCCCTCACGTGGCCCCATACATGGCCCTCCTTCTCCCACCCGCCGCCCGCCCATACGTGGACCCACCAACCCTCCCCATACATGGACCCCCCTGCATCGGCGTGGCTGCTGCTTGTTGGGTCTTGTCTCGTCGCTTGTCTGGCCTACGTCTCGCCGCTTTGTGTGAAGAACAGACTAAGGACCCCTTCCCCCCGTCGGCTATTTAAAAGAGAGTTCATCATGCGGTTCCCAGGCAACACGCGGTCTTGAACATGCCAGCGTGTTGCCTGCAGCGAAAAACCGACAAAGATGGTTGGGGAATTAACCTTTGGGTGAAGAACAGACTAAGGACCCCTCCCCCCCGTCGGCTATTCAAAAGAGAGTTCATCATGCGGTTCCCAGGCAACATGCGGTCTTGAACATGCCAGTGTGTTGCCTGCAACCGAAAAACCGACAAAGATGGTTGGGGAATTAACCTTTGGGTGAAGAACGGACTAAGGACCCCTCCCCCCCGTCGGCTATTCAAAAGAGAGTTTATCATGCGGTTCCCAGGCAACATGCAGTCTTGAACATGGCAAAGAGCTTCTGAAAGCAGCGTGCCAGTGGGATTCGGGAACGCAAGAAATTCCCCACTGTCTCGGCCATTTTACATGAGGGACAGACGGGGCTCTCCTTCCCCCCCTGTAATCGCAGCTTCGACAGGTTGTTCCGAAGCCAAAAAACGCACGATATTACACGGGCTACTATGGGCGGTGTACCTAGTTTACGGGGAAAACACGTGGATTGTTTAGCTCTGCGGCGGTTTGTCAAGCATGGCTTGATACAGCATATAGGCGCAAAACAGCAGTTTATTGCAATCGGATTGTGAGGACACTAGCATACACGAGTACCCTATTCGCTTGACAATGCGCGTATTAGTGAGAGCCCCTTATCGCGCACGGAACATTGCATTCAATGGTCATGCTTGTATCCGCCGACTCCTTCTTCTTTCAAAGGAAGGCGCGGGGGAAGGGTGGAACATGTAGGACACCTTGACCACTCGAAGTGCCAAACATCAACAAAATTATTTTACAAAGACCCTGAATACCACTGTAACATTCCGCAATAAAAGACTGGGATTTCACAATCAATGCGTGTATAGAAAGAGGCTGAAATGCTCGACACCCCAGCATCCCCGTTCCCCATGGCCGTGTTATGCAGCCATGAGGACATGTTTGTCGTTGTTCATTCCTGTGCCCAAAAGATCCAGTGGCCGCGCTTGCGCAACTTGTTTGCACAGACCTCCGGCGGTCACGGGGGAGGGAAAAAAAAAAAACACTACACGAGCACTCCTAATCTATACTGTTTTGCGGGAAGACCAAGCAACTTAAACTGTAACATCACATGCCGAAGTTCGGATTTGAGAGAACTTCCTCATGGCCGGAGGCTCAGCAGCAAAGGAAGGCAGGCTCTCGCAGCTGACCCACCGAGAGGGGCGAGTCCAGCAAGGAGCCGGAGACGCTGCAGCCGTAGCCCTTGGGGCCGTCGCCGGTCAGGTCTTTCGGGCCATCGCACAGGACCTTGTCCGCCATGGTGTGATCACCTGAAAGTGGGGACCGAACACGGGGGGTGAGTGAACCACCAGGCAAAAGTTTTGAAACCCACTTTTGTTTAAGCTTCTTGTTACAACCACGACAGTTGCCGTTTTGCGTGAACCAGCGTTAGTTGAACCAAGTGATTGAAGCATTGATTGCATAAATTCGGTTTGAGCTCGTTCAACCCATACTGAAACTTAATCTGGGTCGAATTCGAGCTTCCCCTGTGATTTGCGATGGTACAACTCCCGATGGTTGTTGCAGCTTTGTAAAACATGGGAACTTGAAGGCAGTTGGCTCGGGGTGCTTTGAGACTGAAGGTCGGTTATGGGTTGGGGTTAGGCTCGGATTGTAGTGACTTGAGAGTTCAAGGGCTGGCTTTATTTGTTTCAGCTATTGGAATATTTTGGATGTAGGCTTCGGCTTGTGGTGGGATTCGTGGTTGAACTGCGAGGGGTAGGGATTGGCTTAGGCAAGTTTAGGGTTCCTGGTGGGCTTAGGCCGAGTTATGCCTGATTGGAGGCGGGTTTAGTGTGGATCAAGGGCTGGCTATGGATTGTGCTTCGGTTTGTTTGGGCTGTGTGACAGGAGTTGGCGCTGGTTGTGCGAAGCCAATTGGCTGTCAAAGAGATCCGGCACAAAGCTGTAGTGCTATCAGAGTCCCTTCGGGTGCCTCCCTGTGCCTGGGAAACTTGTGGCTATTTTGCATCAAGTCCTGAACCAAATATGTAAATAAAACGGCCGACTGTGCCTTGCCTTGCAATCCTTGCGTGAGCTCGTTCGGCCCCATTGAAGAAGTCTTTCAGGCGTTGAGAAAGTTGACTAGTTGGATTAGAGCCGAAGCAAACCTACATCTGGATCCATTCGAAGAAAGCAACACTCACACACCTCTCCCGCTCCTTGCCAGACCAATCGGCCGATCAAATTCGAGTTTGCATCAGCACCGAGAAACACAATAATTACTGCCACGGCCCCTGCAAACCAAAACAAATGTGCATGCCATAGCTCAGCCAAACAAATCCGAAACAGCCTTCCGAACATGTTGTGAAGCCAACATGAGCCTCAACTCATACCAAATCGCCAAACAAATCCAAACCATTCGAACAGGTTGGAACACCAACAGGCTCAACTCATACCAAATAGCCGAACAAATGCGAAACAGCCTTCCGAACATGTTGTAACACCAACATAAGGCTCAACTCATATCAACTCCGGGGCTTTCCCATCGACTCTCCCAAGAAAGGCCTCCGTCTTGGAGCTTTCGCTTGGCTCGTTTCCGGGGCCCCGACCCATGAAGTGCAACACCTCGAGGCGCTCGTCCTGAAGTGAAACAAATGGACCTCGTCTTTTTGGGCTGTACCCTTTTCGGGGGTCGGTTGAAAGGTTTGAAACCAAAGGGAAACCAGCCAGTTTTTGGGGGTCCCCTATTTCAAGACACGCCAAATGCGTGTCGTCTGTGTTGGGGCGCCTCTTTCTGGCTTTGAAGGGAGACCAGCAGGAAAACGCCCTTTCTTGAGGGCCCCCCCCCAAAGAAAACCGCACTAGAGTGGGGAGAAAAACCCCGAGACCCAGGACCCGAAAGAGCGATTTGTGCGTCCGCCAAGTTGGGACTCCGGCGCGCTCCTGGAGGCCCTTCTCCTGCATGGACTCGTCACTCACAGGCTCCCCGCAATGCTTCAAGGTGCAGCCGCCCCGGTTGTAGGAGATACCACTCCTCACTGGGCTGGATTTGCCGCTGGGGCTTTCGTGGCCCCAAAGCGCAAAGGCCTTTGTGCAGGGGCTCTCTATTTCTTTCTTTCTTTCTTTCTTTCTTTCTTTCTCTCTCTCTCTCTCCTCCAAAACTGGGCTGGAACCCCTTGACAGAGGCGAGGGTGTCTACATCACAAAAAACATGGGCTGGGCCCTATGCTTTCTTGAACAACTGAGTAAGTGCCACGTGTCGCCCCCCCGCCCCCCAATTTGCCATGCACTTGCGTCAACATAGGACCACCGATGCCGAAGGCGGGTTTTCGCGATCCAATACTAAGCGATTCTAAACTTTGACGTGCGTTCGGCAGAACCAATTTCCGGCACAAACAAACCATGGATTCCATTCCGGCCCAAGCAAACTCTATCTCATTTCGGATGTGATTAGCACGCCGGATTAGTGTGGCAGGCAAGCCGCCTGTTGCCAGGTTGCTTCTGCGGATTCCGCCCCGCCAGCTTCAGATTCACGTGGCGTTTGGCGAGGGGGCGGCAGGAAACATTACCATGGCAACATGACCGAATCTCATTCGGGTTATGGGTCGGTCTCAACATAGTTGTTGTTTTGGGAGATAGCTTCCAGGGTAGACCAAAATGAAACAGTTCATGGGGGAGTACCTCTACTTGACTCCAGACAAACGGTCGCCTGCGTCTTCTATCCCTTTTACTGTCGGTTCATGGACATGCACAAGTTGCTGTTTCTGTCAAACAAACCACCGGCTCCTCCCAAAATGACTCTTCCGGCAACAAATTATCTGCAAACATCGCCGCGTCAGGGGGCCGGGGGGCCGGCAGCTCCCAGAAGCAGGTTTGTACAAAGGGAACCGGCGTGGCAATCTTGGGCCAGAAACGTCTGTTCCACTTGGGTATGTTTCAAGTTCAAAACTCGCAAAACATCGATTCAAACAACTGCCAAGGATTCTTTTCGAGCAAGGTTCCCATGTTGAACGCCCAGCTGCCAGGGGGAGATCAAATAACTGCCGCTGTTCAAACCTATCATTTTGCTGGTGCCTTTGCTAGGCGGGAATGGCGGGATGGACATCCACCGTAGATGTTGCTAGTCTTCCTCTGATCCCGGGGTACAAACGACACAAACCAAACAAATACAATATGCCAAAAGTGGACCTATGACTCTTCGCCCATGCGCCACTCATCAGGTCTACATCCGACCAGTCGCCGTTTGCTTTCTGACTGACCAGCTATGATGGAGCGGGGCATTCGTCTCCCTTGTTTTCGGGTGGGGGTTTTGCCTGCATTTCTGCAGGCGTCCATCGTTCGCTGGCGATTCCAACCGGAGGACACTCCCAACCAAACAAGCGTTCATCCCCAATGAAGAACCCTGGAAGTAAGTCTTGTGCAACGTTGGTGATAGCCTTTAAATGCAGGAAAGACAACCTCGAAGAAAACCGGCACACACGCCCGTAAACCTATACATCTGCGGCCAAACATATACAGCCAAGGCGCGCAAGGAGCACGCGAGCGGACATGTTCCGAGCGCCGAGGGCCTCAGACTGTTCGATCGTTGTCCATTGGGCAATCATGTTGACCCCTGACAAATAGACCCCCCAGTCGTTAAGCAAGGCTTCGCCCTGGAAAGGAGTCCCCACTAAAAAGGGCCCCCTGATTCACAACTGGGGGGGGTTCAAACTGAAAAAAATAAGAAAAGCAACAAGAACTCAACGGATACCCCAAGGTGACCCTGCAACACTAACAAAACAACAAGACGGCCACAAAACACAAGCAAGAACGCCAACAGGACCTAGGGCATACTAGCCCAGCGAAACAAAGCGCTTTTGCTGGGGGGGGGGGGGGGTGTTTACGGGTTCAGGTCTTCAATGTAAAGCAAGGGATTCCCACTGGCCCAGAGACAGGGAAGCACTTGCCACAGCGAGCCACAAGAAGCAGAATCACATGCCAAAAAAGAGCAAAAGCATACACGATACGATCCTGCATGTTCCGTGACAACAGCCCACAAATCTGGGTTTTAAGGGCAAACCATAAGGAAACCACGAGTTTGGCATTTGTGCCCTAAAACCCATTTCCCCACACAGCGGGAACCAAGAGATTGACATTGACTCCTTTAAGACGCCTCGCCTGCAGCAAAGGGCAGGGGGTGGATTCACTATGCCGGCGTTGCGGCTATGAGCATCCAGAAATGTGACCATCCAACGAGTGAGCTTTGTGTATTGCGTACTGTGGTGTTTCTTGGTGGTTCGCAGGCATCCAATGAGGTTTTGAGGTGTTTTGGGTGTAGAGGTAGTTTCCACTGAGCCACTAGAAGTTAGACTTTTAGCAGGGGATCTGGGAGCAGCCAAGGTTTGTGAGGGCAAAGTATAGCGACCTCACCACCGGTTTTGGTTTGGGACCTTCCCCAGGATGATGGTTCCGTCAAACACAGACAAACCCAAATGCACGACTACGGCTTATTCTGCTCAGCGAACATTCGCGTAAAATTCCTGGGATGCGGACGTCGTTCAGACAGATTTGCTCGTTGCTGCTGCACTGGTGGTCCTTCGGAGAGCTGCAGAGTGCGGATGCGCCCATGGTCCAGGCCCGTGCCAAAAAAAACAAGTATCCCGTTTGAAGACTCGGTTGCGAACTCTGCTCCCCTGCTAAAAGTGACTAACTTTTAGTGGTTTAATACGGAAAACCCATCAGTTGGCAAAAAGTTAACGTGGTGCATGCCAAGTAACGACAAAACATATCCACCCCCTGTGGTTTCCTCAAGGGAAGTTCAAAACGAGTATGGTTATTCAGCACATGTGCCACAGTCAAAAAAGGCAGCTACCATAAAGGATATGAACGAAACCAGCGAGTCACCAGGCTTTTGTGGGAGATTCAGAGCTCGTCCCTCTATGTCTCTCCACACGGACCATACACGTACTGGAAAGGTTGACCGAACCTCTAGATCCTTGTTTGACAGCGCTCTATGTTTTCACATCTCTTCCAAAGGAAGAACCCAAAGTGACACCACCCTGGGTCAACCATTAGGGCACCCTGACCCACCGGAATGGTTCTGGGAACTCTTCTAAAGAACCTCCAAGAAGGTTCTAAGATCGTTTGCTGGGGAGCCGTTGGTTGTTTCACCCATTTTGGCATATGGGCCTTTCATTTGGTTTCCCGAACCAACCCGTAAATGGTACCCTTCCTTTGAACCATATACCCATTTGGCTCTGTCTTTCTGAGGGCAATTGTGCTCTTTGGGAGTTACAGTGACATCAAAGGGATTCCGGACACCCATTCTGGGGTCGCCTCCCCCCCCCCCAGATTTTGACGCATACCACGTTTCCATTTGGCTGTCGAAAATCGTTGGTAACAACCCAACATGAATTGCCCCATCGGTTTTATCGGACAAGACCGCATGCGGGTATGGGTCAAAATTAAACCACCAGGATATGAACCGCAGGTTTTAGTCCTTTCCATTTACCAGGGCAAGCCATTTTGGGGTTACCCTATTCTTGACCCACGACCCCATGTGGCCGCTTGGCCGCTTGGCGCCCGCTTGGCGTCGCGCCCGTCGCGCCTGGATGCCAATGCGCCACGCCTGCAGACCTTTCGGCCCCTGTTGGTGCGCCTCGAAGGTGTCGCGGAAGAGGTCCTGAGGTGTCCATCCGACCGCTTTTGCGACGCTTGGGACTTTGGGAGTTTGGTTGGAAAAGCAGTTGGGCGCTGGTTGCCAGTTCTCCTTATGGATCGATGGATCGGTTTGTGGCTGGGTCATAAGCGCGTCCAAAAAGACCGGCTTCGAAAGGAGGCGGGCTTCAAATCCCCGGCTTGGGCCCTTTGGAGTCAACCTGGACTCCTCAAACACCTATGGTCTGAACACTTGGGTTTCCTACGGGTCGGTTGAAATAAAAATTGCCCAACTGTGACGTTTCCGCCCAAACATGGGGGGAGGGTGCTGAAGTTCGTTTCAGCCTCTGGTAAACTCGCTACTTGCCTAACATCTGGCTGATGTTGGTGTTTCAGAAGGGAACCAACAAGAAGCACACACACACACAGTTTCGCGGGGCGACCAAGTATCGTCAAATGGTTGAACACGTTTGATCCTTCAAACAAGGGGGGAATTGCTTGTTCTTCGCTTTCTGCACCCTTGCTACTTGAGCGCTTGGCAGGCGCGGGAAGCTGGCTGCGGTAGTCATGCCGGTGGTAAGGGGAGACTCAGGAATACCGGCGTGGACCATATAGGACAAGTAGACGTTACGAAACACAGAGTCAACGACAGTCACCCAAACTGACCCCGACCAGTTTAATCGCAACCAATCGTTGTCCCGGATCATGGACACTCTAGGAACTGGAGACAACGGAAAGCAAAGCAGATGAGAAGGCTCAAATCCCAGATGTGCAAAGTCGCTTGCCCAATGTCGAGGCTATGGTCCTTCCTCCTGGATGGTAAACTCGTTTTTACTTCAAAGCCAGCCCGATCGGCCAATCGCTGCAGATCACTAAACAGATTCACCGTCGGATGTGACTGACATGTACCCACATTGCACAGTCGGCGATCACATTGTTTGCCTCAAAGGCCCGCGTAGCATATTGGTAGCTCACAGCATGGGTTGGGGGCAACCATGGCATGGGTATACAATTGAGCAACATCATCGCCACCAATGAAATCCAGCGTGGGTGTACACCAACGATTGCAACCAGCTTGCTTGCCCAAATGACCCGGAAGTGACGGGTCAATTCACCCTTCTGTTGCTAATCCTTGCTGCCGAAACTGGCTGATATCCGTCTCTGTGATGGGCGTGACAGGCAAGTCGGCAAGAAAAGTACGCTCAATTCACTTGGTGCAAACTCTCTCAGGAAACCCACAGGAGACCGGAGCCAAACTCTGATTTCAAAAGATTCAAAGGCTAAAGGTCGCAAATGACAACGATCACAGTGTCTCTGCCAGCAAGTCTCCTTGGACCATTGGCTGTTTTTGGCCAGAATGACGCCACCATTGATCCTGGAGGGCACGAGGAATCACGATGTGGCAAGACTGAGAGGCGTACAGCGATGCCGCAAAACTCAAGGTAGGCATAGGTAGGCCAAAGTCCAGAACAACTTGCGCCTCCAAAACTAGGCCAGTCGTGAGCATGCCTCATGTCAAGCTAGATTCGTAGTCCATACTCTGGGTGTTTAGTGGCGGTACCAGAGTGTGGGTTGTCAAAAGCATGGTTTCTAAGACATCAAATTTCTTGCTTGTGTCTCAAGTGGTTGATATGCGCGAACATGATATTGGTGTCGTTGTTGCACCAGGGACCAAGTGAAATACACATCAGTGGCAGCTCAACTGCGCCAGCTATCGGCTGCTGCGGCAGCGGCTGCTGCGTCTTGTTACTGCTGCGTCTTGTTGCTGCTGCTGGTGTTGGCAGATGGCAGCGTGTTGTGGTTGCATTTGTTGCTGTGGCTGCTACACAATCAGCACTATTATTGATCTGCATCACTGGGAGGGTACCCCCCCCCGAGCCTTAACCCACCAACCGAGACCACCAATTAGAGGAACATGACCGGCAGTTTAACCCAACAGTGGAAATAGCAGGCAAAGCTTTTGGCTTGCCATGTCTAGCACAATTGACAAAACTGGGGACTTGCCAAATGGTCGAAAAATGGGGGGGGGGTGCTTTTACACGGAAGCCCACCAGGTACCCGTGCCACTTTCTGCGTCCAATACGCTCCCTTCCTGAGATTGGCCAACAAGTCCAAACTTTTACCGCCATGATCGCCAAGAGTACAACAGCCAACAAGTTGGTGCTTTTAGGGTTCCTTGTCGATTCTCCCGACAAAAAGGAAACTAAACACTTGGGAAGCGGGCGCGCCTCTTCTCACCATGAAGAAGCCAATCTTCGTTGGTGAGGAACACATCTCCTAGGACATGGAAGCGCAACAGGAAGCTTGGCCCGAGAGACCTGAAAATGACTTCTTATGCAAGTTCCACTGGTTGTAAAGGGCTAATAGGGTTCATTTTATTTCTTTATTTCCAGGGGATCCTCTCTTTGCGGGGCCCCTGACAGTCATAGGACAAGTAGCTAAGAAGCATTCTCCCAAGTTAGAGGTCAGAGAACTTATATAAAGGTAGCGACCAGCTACCCAACACTTGTGGAATTTAATAGCAAACCCAACACACCCACTGAACCAGAGTGTTTCTGTTTTTCTCGTGGGACCTCTTCAAGTCGCCCGGGTGTGGCTTGTGCATTATGTGGCTAACGAAAGGGAAGCCGCGATTTCCTTTCCAGGGATGCCATGACAGAGATGACAGAGTTCTCTTGTTCCCCACTTAAATCCGGGGAATGAATCCTGGACACCTATGTCCCTGGCACCACATTAAAATCACTGCGAAGCATCCATGCCAAAAAAGAAACCATGGAATCAGCCCCGGTTTCGTCCTCCACCGGAAATCACTCCCTAAAAGCATGAGCTGGTCCCTTTCAACCAGTCCAAGCCAGGCACTCTTTAAGCACCCACGGCGCGGAAGGCGCGGAAGCCCCCGGGGGAAAACCCGCGGCGCGCCTTTGCGGCCAAGGCTCGGCGCTGAGCTCGGAGCTCGGCCGCCATCTTCCCCAAGACGTCGTGGTCCCGGACCAGCGCCGCGTCGGCGTCCTCCCGGTTCCGTTCCGCTCGGCGCAATGGCGAAGATCTTTTTTGGGCCGGTGAAAAGCCACGAGAAGCTACCCCGAAAAAAAAAAAATGTGAAAGGGATGGTGAAAGGCCCGCAATGCTGATCCCGGATCAAAGCTGGCGGAGTAGGGGGCGTTTCCTCAAGTGGAGGATTCTGAATTGAAACTCCCCCTATGTATCAGCCAGGGATTGACACGTCCCTGGCCAATCTTGCCCCACAAAGCTTCTCTAGTCTGTGCTTTGTTCAGTTGTCATTTTCCTTTCAGCCAAGGTGCCTGTAGCGGAGTATACGGGCTACACAAAAAACACTGCAGATCAATGGCACGAACTCCAGGATGCTCGACATGAATCACAACCCAGAAAACACACTGGAAGCTTCAAGCAAACAGCATATGGTCCAGTGACAAACTTACCCCAAGAATCCCTTTTGACTATATGCGTTGTATATTAGATAGCGAGAGAGATACTATGAACAACTCCGCACCGCTTTCGAGGCCCGCGCCAGCATCATCACGTGGCTGAAGTTCTGAGAGCTTTGGAGATACTCCTCCAGCAATTTGTGCTTCTCCCAGTTGAAGTTCTCGCGCTCGTTCTTCTTCGTGCACTCCTCGGCTCCGGATTGAGCAACCTCGTGGACTAGGGAGAGATTCTCCCAAAAAGTCAAGGATGCCATCCAAAATGCGACACCGGGCCATCCTAGAATGTATAACTCCCGGATTCCCATTAGTCGTTTTCGTTGATGTGTGATTGCTGTTTCGGGACTTGCACTCTGTGTAGTTTGAATGTATCGCTGGTGGTAGTCCAAGGTGGGAATCAAGGGCTCACTCACAGCAGCAGGCAAGGCATTTCTAAATCTAGGCTTCGACCATGAGAACAACGACAAAACTAGGTGCTATAATAAGACACTTCAAATGGCCATGGGTTTGCAATTCCAGGATTCACACCCCGATTTCAGGAGAGAGCGGGCATAAAACGCTCGACAGCCTGGAGTGCACATGAGTCAGGAAGGTCCCCCATGTTGAGACATTCCATAATGCTGTCTCAAAATGAGGAGTCGGTGTCCCCGCAACAGAACACAGTCCCTATAGCTTGGCCAATCTCCCCCGCCACTCGTCGAAAAGTAGGAGGCCCTAGATCTAGTATAATATGATGTATCCCCCTTATCTGATATGCTACTAATATAACCATGAAACTCCTGTGATATCAAAAACAGTCTGACTCCGTAAAAGAAAGCAAGTTAACCGAAGCCCAGCCTGTCAGGATGGCTTCAAAGAAGCTCTGACAAAGCTTTACGAGGATTGGTCCAACATCACAGGCCCCGTTTAGGTGTCCTCCAAAGGGAAGGTTTGGCTGAGAATTGATGTTTATGGGGTCCGTTTTATGGCTTTGCAATCCTCATGGAGATGCACAAACTGGAGGATTCAATGTACGAGTAGCCTACCTGAGCTGCGGGAAAGTCTTAAAAGTAGGGAACACTTGAGTTCACAGGAAACGAGTGTGGAGGAACCCGACATCATAGTAACTCACTAACCAAAGTAAACCCCTCAAAGAGTAAAGAGACTTCATGTAGATCGAATCCCAGGTCACGATTCGATTTTTTTAAACAGCGGCCCAAATGGTCGCTTTGAAGATTGACCTGCACCCGCCAGGAAGGCCAACCAAGTGTTTGGAGCTCGGGTGCCGCAACCTCGCGAACCAAAACGTGGATTCCCGTTGGTTTCCTACAAACCCAACCCAAAAGATGTCTACAAATCAGAGGATACCCAAGTGTTGTGTATGTTTCACACTAGTTGGACCCCCAACAAAACGTGGTTTTCCATGGTGTCCCTTCAAACCCTCGAAAAGGGTTCTCTTCTAGTGCTACCTTCCCCATTTTTTCTGGGATCCTTCTTTCTAGAAAACCTCCGGAAACCCAAGGAAACGGCCGGATACGATGGTTGAAAAGAATGGGGACTCAAGCCTGAGACATCTACCCAGTTCCCACCTGCACGGAGAGCTGGCCGCACTGATCTTGCTGCCACTGCAGGAGCTGAGGCTTGCTGGGCAGCCACCTAACGGGACGGCCCAGCTGGGTAAAAGTCAGGCTGAATGGCCCTGACCCTGCTCTTGTGGCTGCCTTCCTTTAAAAAAAAGAGATGCAACAGCCATTTTGGGTGGGAATGCCATGAGCTTTAACAGGACACGGACAATCCGTCAGCGGAAATCCCAGCTTAGTCGGACATTGTGGTGCCATTCTGGGTGGCAAAGCCAAAAGGATCTGGACAACAACAGAGATGGCATGTCCATGCCCTTGTGGTTTTTCTCCAAGGGGCAAATACACGGGTTCTAGGTATTCGGGGCGCGCAACTTTGAAGAAACCAATTTTCGTGAAGAGTTCACTACCATAAACATAAACCCGGCCGAAACAAGTCACAGACACAATGACGGGTTGTTAGATCATGGTGTCGGTTGTGTTAGTGAAACTCCATAAGCCTACGTTCCGAAATCGAACATTATCACCCGCCTTCTCGACATTTCCACCAGAACACCAACCACACATACAACCCCCATGCCAACCCACACAGCATCTACATGAGTGGTGCCTGCTGTCGATCAAACATCCGAATGATTTGCAAATGGCGCTCTGCTTTCATGGAATTAAGGCAAACACAGTGCAACAAAGGCGATAACGTAGAAGCCGCCCACAGAGCGTCACACTAAATATTCCATGCGCTTGACACAGAATCAAAAATCATGTAGGGGAGTAAATTAGGAGGGAGGAGACTGGGAGGAGGCTCACAAAAAACACACACACACACGCACAATCAGCCATCCCCGTGTGGCCTCCTTCTTGGGAATTTGCAAGGTTTGCAACCCCGATTTCCTAAATCCGCGGGCTAGAATCGTGGGGAACAAAAAAAAAATCCCGACCTATTTTGTACAGGGTCAGGCAAAACACTGGTGGAAACAGGACCGACAAACTCACCTGTTTGCATGGGTCGCCATTGGCAGGAACGTCAACGGGAACCAGGGTGGATGTCTTATGAGCAACAGCGTATACAACTCTTCTTGTCAACAAACATGAAGGGTCGTCAAGAAATGCAGGGGTCCGGGACAAAAAAGCCCAATGTTCTGACAACATGACAGTTGTTCGCTCCCATGTCAATGTGTTGCTATGTATGGTCTCAAAGCGGGCAATAAAATGGCCAGAGTGGGCGGCTGATGGGACACATAATACATATGTATACATATATATATATATATATAATTTGTTTTTCTTTTACAGTGTGAATTTTCACTTCGCTCTGGTGCTAGCAATGACGTTTTTTTTGTTTCCTCGCCCCATTCACAGATCACCCTGGAGTTTAAGACTCGTGCGCAAAGCCATCCCATTTGTTGAACAGGCTCCCTCTAGTGATGTGGCATGGGGCTGTGATTACAGAGCAAAAGAGAAAAAGGTTGGCTCACGTTGATCAACCTATGCTGGTAGGTGCCATGCTTGTCGAACACTGGAACACAGCGACCACATCTAGGTTTATTGTCCTCGTTTGTGATTCATATTATCTGACACAGTCAAGACTAATCATGGACCCGCAAACGTTGGAGCAGCGGAGTGCAAAACGCGTCCACCGCGCCCACAAGCTGAATATATAGCTTTTCCGATGCAGCCATAACCAAGGTGGCAAAGGCTTCAATCAGGTCACAATGTCATGAGCCACACGCATGTCCTCTGTCGAAAGTCTGCATGCGCGCGCGGCATGGCCGAAATGACTCTGGTTCAACCCCAAATTTGGGCTCGGCAATACTGAAACCACTTTGTCATGGGAACCAAGTTCGTTTGACACCCTTGGATTAGCAGACCGGCCCGATCCCAGCCCGCCTAATCACCATGGCATGGCCATGCTGCCGCGCATGGAATCGGTTGGTGGCCAAAATGGCGCGCAGCCAGCGGGGCCGGCTTGCCACATCTTCTCGACCCCATAAGGGTCCTGCACACGAAGGTCTGCCAGGGAATAATAGGTGGGCTGGGAAGGTATTCAAATATGTGCTAGACATTCAATCCGCGAAAACATGAGCTGATATATCGTAGATGTAACATGCAACATGCATTTGTATAAACACGTGCCAATTGTATACACATCACTTGAATGTAGTGTATCAGCGCGCGCCAGCCTAGTTGAAGCTAGGGGCTCGCCCTGAACAGGCAATTCCCCTCTAAATGTCGCCAACATTTGCTTGCAGGGCCCTTTAGTTACGTTGCCCTCTAAGGACATACAACTGGGTGCTGGAACCCAGTTTGAAGGAACCCCTTTGTCATGGGAACATGAAGTCCTCGCAGGGTCGTTTCTGCAAGAGCAAGTAGTCATCATAGGTACAACGCATGTGGGCGGCGCTTAAAACCCATTGACTCGTGGTTTTACCCAGCCCCTTTACAGTCCCTGCTAGTTCCAAAAAACGCTAAGGATCCCCCCAAAGCAGCATTCATCAGGGTGAGAGCTTTTTTTCTGCTCGGTGAAATGGAATCAACATCTCAAGTTACAAGCTCAGTCCCCATGGGCCTAGCTGGTTCATTTTGAAAGGGAAAACCACCCAAAACAGCAAACAACACGGGTGGACACCACTTTTACATGGGTTCTCTGAATTTGCCTTCGGGTGGCTTTTAAGGCAAGACAAAAGGACACTGCCCAGTTTGGGCGTCAATCTTCTCAAACACGCCCACATCGATGCTTTGGGCTTCAACATCTCGCTGTGAAGCACGGCACCTGCTTCCATGAAGACCGGCTGCACGATCAGCATGCCCCCTTTCTCCTGCGAGACCGGCCATGCGTGGAATGCGGCACGTACAAGTAGGGGTATTCTAAAAATTGAGAAGGGTCCCTCTCGGATGGCGGTTCAACAGAGGACAAGAAACAACCGAAAGGATGCCCGCTATATAGAATGCTGCCCCGTTGCGGGAAACGACCGCATACCTGTCCACTATAGGTGACCATGAGAAAGATTGGTGTGTCTCTACTTGCAAATGCAGGAACCCTCCAAAATGAGGACTGTCTTTCGGCTTCCCTTTGACATAGCCACACAACGCACCCACGACAAGAGACCCACCTGATGGAAACTCACGTTTCATGGCCCAAATGGCAATGGTTGAACCTCAGAATATCTTAAAGCCTTCCTCAGAATCTGTCAGCAAAGGCAGAATGTTGGGCAGGCACACCACACGCATACACATAAACAGACACTCGCACATAACTAGAAACAAACATGGTGTATCAATTCAATTGATCCCATCTCAGGGCACAAAACGACACACAGCCCTTACCAACCCAAAGCAACCGGACTGACACGCGACAAACAGGAGAGGAAACCAATGGGCCCCCGGTTTGGGGCCCTGGCATTTGCTGCCTTAGGGGTCAGGACAAAAAGGATCGCGCCGAGGGGTCAAACATCTTGGGAAGACTGAAAAACAAATGGTGCCATTCTGCAGTTCCGCCACAATAGAAACACATATCCTGGTTCAGTCAGTTTGTTCGTGTCCCGTTCCATGCAATCTTGTCGTCACTAAACACGGTTTCACCACTAGTTCTTGCAACCGTCTCCTTTTGTCTTCCATATGCAGGATGCTTCTCGGTAAAACACGTCGTGTTTTCACCAACCCTGCCCAAAACCCAGTTCAGGATGGTGTGTAAAGAGAAATCAACAAAGAACCAAAAGAAAGTCACATTTTGAGGCCCCCCCCCATTTCTAGAAAACCTGTCGCCATGGTTTAGAACGCATGGCTAAAGCAACCCCTTTTCTTTGTTGGGTGTTGAAGGAAAATCGCTGTGGGCATCTTTAGAATAATCCATGGCTCCTGCCGTCGGGCATCCACCACCAGGACATCCTGCTTCACCAGCCAGGAAGGCTGATGCTCAGCCAAGGGCAACCCGTTGCTGCCCGCATTCCTCGACCCGCGGAGGCGGAACTCGCATAAGCGGAACTCGCATTGACCCCATGCGCAACATCAGACAAAACTCATGCGGAGCAGTCCTCAGAAATCGCCAGGTTGGCGGAAGCCGCTCGCATGCGATTTGGGTTGGGTCCATCCCCACTAAACTCGTTGGGGAATGCAAAAGTGGCGTGGCTGAAACCCTTGTTGGCTTTTACAGGAAGCCAAAGGGAAACCAGCAACTTTCATCTTACACGGCAAAGTACATCCTTCAACAGTGCTTGGGCCCTTTGCAACATTTTTCTCAGCAAGTTCCATACAACGCTTCACCACCGACCGAGAGGGCCAGATCCAGACCATTCGCTGCTGAGTTTCAGGATGTAATCCGGATGGTCGATCAGGGAGTCGGCCTGCCTGAGACAAAAAAGCGACTGGCATTTTCAAGTAAAACGTTGGATGGCATAACATTTGGGATTTGTACATTTGGAAAGACCTGTCGGGTCCTTTCGCGGATAGGGTTTCGGCAGGAAAAACCAAACATGGGTCCTTGAAGCTTTCGGAAGTCACCCTCATGACCGTCGACCCAGGTTCCCGCAGATTTCCCCTTGGTTTGGGCTGGGCGATTTTGCCTTAAGGGATCCAGCCTTCGCCGAAGGTGCAGGAGCCATGGATCAACGTGAGGATTTGCTTGGGGGAATCCAGTGGAACTGGTAGAGCCCCTTGAACATAGACGAGGTGTGCGAAAAAGCATTCAACGAGTTTTTCTGACAATGGTTCCCTAGTAACCCCTAGCAATTGACACATTTCCACATGGTCACTGCGAGCTAACATCAGCCATACCGCCGATTGGGCTTGTGCCAAAGGTCGAGCGAAATTGATACGTTGATACGCGCAGCGAGTGCTGTCTCAACTTGGGTCACATCTGTGCGTTCCAGGGCGCTCGCTTCTCTGATGCGCAGTGCAGGGAGAGGACGTCAGCAGCGCTCCGACGTAGCTGAAGCTGAGCTCGCCTGAAATGAGAGGTGCACTCAAGTCCCGTCTACCCTCACACCAACTAACTTCGAACCTGACAAGGGGTCCTGGAAGACCATGCTCCTTTTCAAGGGACCCCTGTCAGGTTCCATGTGAATGAATTGGTGGGAAGGGTAATGCGTACGTGCTCTATTGATGGTTTTACCTCAACAAAAACAAAACACAACTATCTATCGATCGAGCTATCTGTATCCATTCATGTTGTTTGTCAGAAGCATGGTGCAAAGGTTTCGGAACCAGCACACAAAGGCGCGTTGAACAAGCGGCAAGGGGCCCAACCAATTTCAAGAAGTCCCAGGTCTGCATCTCAGTAGGTTGCCTACTATAGTGGTCACTGGAAGCACTGGGAAATACACATCAACTATGAATTTGAAACAAGGAAGATTCACGTAAAAGCATCTCGGTTGACTGCCACCTCCCCTTGGCACTCTCCTTGACCCCGATCGCAACAAACATCAAACAAATAGCCATGTCTTGCAACTTACAATGTCACAACATCAATGGGAACAAATATCTTCCCTCGCAAACACAGCACTCCAAACACAACCCCTTTGCCCAAGAGGGAAATATGTTTGCGAGGGCTTGGGGTGTGGCTGGGGGATCCTCAGGGTCCTATGATGTTTTTCCCTGCTCTAAACTCAGGTGCCCAGTGGCCATGGGGGAAAAAGGGCATCCCTTTTTGGCTGGTTGACTTTAAAGGGGAACCCTTCCCCCCAAACAAAACAGAAATATAGGGCGCCACTGGGAAACAGAATAAACAAGGCTGGGACTCTGTTTGCCTGTCCCGCCTTCTACCTCCGGCGGCTCGCTGGGGATGAATGCCAGGGTGTTCGGCGTGCCATCCTCGCCAAGACATGCCCAAATGGGGGGGTTTCAGACAGGGGTCCCCGAGTTAGTTGGTTGGCTTCCTTTGGTTTCCCTTGAAGTACCGAGCAGAAGGGGTCCACCATTTTAGAAACTCCCGGATCTGAATCACAACTTAGCCCAAAGGCCAGCCTACGGGTTGACTATGGACCCCGTGGCCAACGAGCTCCTGGTTTCGGAGGCACGGTTTGTAGGGGCCCATAACTTGCTGAAATCCCCTATACAGTGCATGTATACTTGTATATACATATCTTAGCCGGACGAGGTGAAGCCCTGACTCATACGGCCAAAAGCCATTTTGGGATCCATCCAACCACGAGAAAACTCGTGCCATCAGGCACGCAGAATAGCTGTCATCTATGCTAAAGATTCAGGCAGGATTCCGCTATCATTATGTCAAAGCATCTTGTCAGGATCTGCGTTGACCCACCTAATTTACACAGGGGAGGGAAGAGCAGGGAATGGCAACCGGCAGAGAAACCAACCTCGCTTTGCTGCTTGAAACACAACCCCAAAGAGAGTACGTTGTAAGAAGAGACTGGCACTCTTCAGGAATGGGCTCCAGCTAGCTTGCACTCGTGACTTCTGCTGAATCTCGCCATCTTGATCACAAAGGCTGACTGGGGGAAGTACGGAAATTCATCAACCTAAAATACAAGTCCATACCGCATTCAACAGACAGCTGTGTGGGTAGATGCGTCAACGTTTCGGTTTCTATGTCGACACCGGTGACTTTCCCTCGTGTGCTTCAAGCTGGTGGGTTCCAGCCACGTCCTCGTACCACACGCAGCCATGACAGGTAGTGTCAGGAGCATTATCCACGAAGTGTTGGACGGCCGCCCTCTCGTCATCCTCCATCGGAGCGTGGTACAGCTCCTGGCTGACAAGTGTGAATGATGGCGAAGTTCAGTTGGCCTTCTTCTAGCTCAAGGAACCTGACTTCACATGACATGTATGCTTCGATCATTCACATTTTTACTAACATGGAAGTATTCAATCAGCAGTCCCTCTGTGCATCGGATCAAAATGCCTCAACATAAAGCACAGAGTCAGAATAAGTGGGCCGGACTAACTTAGCACATGACCACAGGCAAGCACACTAGCTAACGTGGAAGTCTCACCAGGGGGCCCTGAATCAGCCAGCTGCGACCTGTTGCAACAACCCAGGCTTGCCATGAATATCCTACGCACAAACCAAAGTGTTCAGCAAGGTCTCTATGTGTGCGTGTGTGTGCCGTCTCTTTTTTGGACAAAGAAGCAGCTGACTTGGAATTGCAGAGCACAATGCCCACACGCACACACACGCACATGAGAAGGATCAGGGCAAACAAAATGTCTATCTAAATAAACAGAGCCTGACAACTTGCACGATTGTGCACCAGGACGAATGCAAGCACGCGGTCCCCAGAGTCAAGACACCCAGTTACAGGAACGAACCAAACGAAAACAACTGAAGAAACATGTACTGCACCGTAGGGATTCAACACATTTCTGGGGTTGGTTCCTGTGCAGCCCACCCCCATAGGTGTCCTTTGGGGAAAAATCGATGCCCCTAGATGATGAAATAGGTCTACTAGGGCCCTTTGTTTCTCAAAGCCGAACAAAAGAGCAGCTCTGCCTGCCATCTTCGCGCCCGGGTTTCTTCGTGCGCCTTGTGGTTGTGCTGGAAGGCTGCGCTCTCATTGCAGCCCGGCCATTTCCTCGGATCGAGAAGGGCAAAAAGTCTCGTGGCTCGTCCTTTCGGGAGCCTCGGTTGGTTGATGGCAAAGAGGGAAGCTCGCCATTTGTTGGTTCCCGTTTTTTTAGACACCAAATGCATGAAGTCTCGCATGTTCTAGGTAGTGCTTCCAGGCAAGTAGGTAAGGGAACCATGATGTAGAGTTCCTAAAGGTAGCCATACCCGGTTACCTACTAAGTTACTAGGGTGATAACTGGAAGCACTGGGCAATATCTGGAGGAAGAAATCATCCAGCCCCCAATGTCCACTTGGGTGTCTTTGTTGAGGCGATCCCCCTTTTTGTGGCTTCATAGGCCAACAAAACACAACTTTTTGTTTGTTGGCTTTAGGGGCCCATAAAAAAATGAACACACCCACTTCCAGAAAGCCCGGCCCGGAGCGCCAGGCATCTTCCGAAACTCCTTGAGCTTTGCTACTTCCGTGGGCGCATCCTGAAAGTGCTGCGCCGCCTCCTCAGGGCTCCAAGATGATTATGCGTCTGTTCTTGAGGTACCCTTTTTTGGTGGTTTTGAAGGAAAACCAAGAGGAACATCACCAGTTGGGGGTCCCCTTGAAGAACACACACACACACACACCCGTGTGAATGGTTGCATGGCTATTATTTCTAGCAGTTGGACACCCCTGAAAAGCTTGGGGGACACAAAGTGTCACCTGAGGCCTCTCTAAAATCCTTGTGGGTTCGGGCACTGCTAAAATAGAAAGCCTCGGCTTTTGCTCCAAACACTGATCCAAAAAAGAACAAAATGCCATCCTATCGCAGCTTTTGCCTTGGACCAAAACTCAAATCTGGGATTCTGGTGCATACGTTGCGAATTGCAAAAAGGCAATATGGCTGTGGGTCAAAACCCTGTACCCCCAGTGAACATCCCAATCCCCGCTAAAACAGACTAAAATGGGTGGTGAACCTACCCCAAAATGGTATTGCCATATCGATGTCAAAAGAGCCTGGCATTGAAGTGCTGGGGCGGATATCCGCACCTGTTTCAACAGAGCTCACAAGAGCCGTGACGCGAGCCCGTGTTTCTTGGTAGAAACCCTGCCGCGATTTTGCTATTCTCATGACACAAAGAAGTGACAATGTGATAATGATGGACAACTTGATCAACAATCGTGCGCCCAGTCGTAGCCAGTGTTTTCCCATGGGAGAAGAATGAGGCAAGGTAATATATTGTTTTCCGTGGGCCAACTTCAAAGAAAGGCCCACCAAAAGAAGACATACAATTGACTCCCTCTCCTCCGTGATGAACAGCGGGCGCTTGTATTTTCGGGCGAATCAAGCACATTTTTGGGAAGCAGCGAGAGCGCCATGTATTTCACCAGCTGGAATAATCCGAGGCACCTCAATGCCCCAACCGGCCCCGGGTGTTTTATTTGCCCCCCACGCCGCCTCCCAGGGATAGACAGTGTAACCCCGTGCCGAGAGGGCCACCAGCATGGCGAAGTCGCTGCTGACCGCCTTGTCCACACCTGGCGAAGAAAACCCTGATACTTGTTCAAAAGTTGATGCCCCATTCTTATCACACATCATTATTTTGAGAAGCCCCTACGTAGAACGATTCCGTGGTGTTTGGCGATATTATGAAAAGAAGGATCCCTGCAAAATCCTATCCGTGCTCAAAAGGTTTCCCTTGGCATCATGGAAAGTGACTCACAAAGGCAAGCTTCCTTAGCCATGGGTGCCAAATAAAGAGTTTGCAACAGCACGCAAGCAACCAGTCAATGCTTAAAAAGCCTTGTGACACCTGGGTAGACCATGTCATCTTGGGTTCATCTCAACATAGCCAATATGATCCTTTCAGTAAAGAAGCTGATGCTTTGGACCGTTCTCAATATGGTTGTGGCATATCCCCTTTCTCTGATACCAAATGTGTGCCCTATGCCCCCATGCCGATGACCACGTTATAAATGAATAAAGGACAAATGCGATTCCGATTGTATCGCAGAAAAGTGACAAAGCCGCATTTCCCACAATCATGCATCGACACACGGAAGTCTTGGGCTTTGTTTTCATGAAGTACATGGCAATCAAATACGCATGCATTTTGCCAACCTTCACAGCAAGCAACAGACCCAAACCAAATCATCCTCGATCCTGAAGCTCATCTGAGATCAAGCAAAAACCCATCTCGGACTCATGTCTCAGCACTCCACCTGCCAAGCACCTAGTCCTAACACTTCGGAACAAAGGACATGTGCTGCTAGTGAGTGGGAAAGCTGTCAGTTTCCCAAAGGCTGCATGTCATGTCTGTCAAAGCCAAAGAGCGACCAAAGCAAGCATTCGCCCTGCCATGTTGAGGTCAGCTGGAGGCACCCTTGACGTTCGACCGAAAGTGGAAGCAGCCTAAAGGGCCAGCTTGTCTTCAGATAGGCTATTGCGGGAAGCAAATACAAAAGAAACCAAGTGAAGAGGTCGATTGACACCTGTAGCCAACAAATCCCCACAAATCCTTAAGATGGTGCGTGGGAAGTTGTTGTTGTGTTTTGTTTCTTCTCAAGCCAAACCTGCCAGCACCCAGCTGACGGCGTCCGCACTGCAAAGGGGGTTTGGCTCCTTTACCGCTTGCTCAGAGCTTTAGAGTTCCTCAAGCTCCGGGATCCCAGTTTTTGCATATCGAACACGCATGTTGAATCTGCATCAATTGGAGTAACCCGTGAATGTTTCAGCTCCGGGATCCAGTTTTGCATATGACGCATGTTGAATCGCAGGTTGAATCTGCATCACGGGGAGTAACCACCCGCGAAATTTTGTTTCAGCGGAAGTCCACCACTCCGACGGAGTCTTACCGCGCCTTCCTTGGCGCGGAGCCCGCGCCAGTCGATGCGCAGCACCTGGGCGGCCTCGAAGGCATCCAACACCGCCGCGGCGCCTCGCTCGCGACCGCCGCAAGCGACGCCGGGGGAAGAAATTGGGAGGGGGGAGGAACCAGATTTGGGGTCCCGGCCAGCCCAAAAAAGGGGTCAGTCTCCTCAAAGTTGGGCGGCTTACTTTCAATATCCCCTTAAAACCAACCCAAGAAGCCCCCCCAATCAAAAAAAAAGGCAACCAGGGCCTGAACGAGTAGACAGCACAAATTCACCGAATGTGTGGAACTACCGTAACGGGGATGAGTGAACCAACACGAGTGCCTGCGGGAATCTTATGAGACCCGAACGCGACTCAGGCTCTTTCTGAGGCTTCCACCTTCACCGAGCGAAATTTCATGTTCTAAATCAAGAAACAAGTGCTGCCATTTAGGTTCAACAGGTTGGTGTCCTAGTTCAGTGAACCATTGCTGCAATTCACTCACCTGAATGAAACCGTAAGGACGTTCAATTGTTGCTCGCCATAGTAGTTTTAGCAGGCAGAGTCTGGTATGGTCGCGAGCCACAGCCCATCTGACTGGTCCACCTTGCCAAACGAGTGTGAAACGGAACAATTTTCTGCCAAGCAATACGGGTCTCTATGAGAAGGAAGCTTCATCATTCAAAAACCGGTTGCACCCCAACACACCCTTTCGATTTGATTTGTCATCAGATCTTTACTCATTCAACTATCCCTAGGAGCCCAAGACCCTAAATATCTGAAGGCCTACCCCGCAAGCCCGCAAACAAAATGAGGTTTTTGGTTCCTCGGGTACTATTAAACTCACCTAGGACCCCTCTGACAGATGGTTTGTGTGACCTCCTTCGGGCCCAAAAGGGGGCGGCATCCAAGCTCTGACGGGCGGCGGTAGTAAGACCCGCCGCAGAGACCGAAGTGAACCTCGGAATAACAAAAAAAGCCATGAAAAATGTTTCACCGATTGTTTGTCTTTCAAGGAGCTCCCAGTTGTTCGTTGCATTTCACAAAGGAAAACACATAAAATGAGTTGAATTGGTGGAATCTAAATGGAAGCCCACTAAGAAGCAAGGAACACGGGGCACAGCAGTCTAGGCTGGTGGAATTCAACAGGCTGCTCGGAAAAGTCAAAAACAAAGCAAAGCACGAAATCATAATTGCTCAGCTGCAGGATCTTTTCTTTGACCAAAAAACGGCTTCCGTGCGAATCTTCATGTTCAGCACTCCTCCCAGGTGCATTCCTCTATTGGTTGCACCTGCCAAAAACTACTGCTCAAGCCGTCCTAACCGCAGCATCCTCATATTGTCCGCCCCGTCATACAGCACCGGCAGGTCGTCAAAGTGAAGTACCTCTCGCCGGCGCATCGCCTCACCATGTGATAGAGGCCGGGCTCCGTTCCGATGTGAAGCTCCCCATAGAGCGTGGTCAGCAGTCTCCGGGCATCGGGGGTAACGCACCTTGGGCATGGCAGCTTCTCTCGCGTTCCTCGCCCTTCTCGCAATCCATAGCAATTCAGACGGAAGTGGTACCTCTCCCCTTGCCCGGTATGGAAGATCGACGGCTCCGTCGGCAGACTCTCCCCATCACTCTCCGGGTCAGGATCATCTGCTTGCGTCGTGCCTTCCCACTGCTTTGCCTTCCCTTTCTGGCCCTTTGACGCTCCCTTCTTTGGGACCGCCCCAAGCATAGCCGCGCTTGACCCTGCCGATGACGATCCCCTGGTTGAAGGCTCCCCCCTTCGTGTAGTAGCGCTCGTTCCGAACGTAGATGTCCTTGCCGTCGTTGTCCTTCCCCACGAAGTCTCCGCCTCTTCGAACTCCGGCTCATATCTTGACGTTGGCCTTGCCACCGAGGATGTACCTCCGGTCTGACCCTCTCCCACTCCCAGCCGACTCCACCACAGAAGACGCCACGGAAGTAGGTCTCGGCCGTCTCGAATCCGACGTCGAAGACCTTGCATCTCTTGCCAGCTCTTGCTCACTTCCAGACGCATCATCGTCTTCACCTCGGGTCGGGTCCGCCCATATCCCTTTCAGGGCTCTCACCCTCGGGGCCACCTTTCTCTCACACATCATCTCCATCAGCTTGAAGAGGACAATCGACAGCACGCTCACCATGACCATCAATGCCTTGAGCGACTCATCCTCCTCATCTCCATTCTCCTCAAGCTTCTCCTTCACTGCCTGCGCCTTGGATATAAGGCTGGCCACGGTGATCACGCGGACCACTCCTGTCGCCACTTCCACCTCACCAAACGCCTTCTGGCCCCCGCACTTCTTCTGCTCCTTTGCGAGGTTCGCCTTGATCTTGTTCAGAGAGTTCTCCACGGTCATCTCCTCCTGGACGAAGTCCCCTCCCTGATCTCCAAGCTGGTTCAGGTTCCCAGTCTCCTTTTTCTCAAGCCCTTCCAGCTTCCAAAGCGCTCTCAGCTCTTCCATTCTTTTCCCGCTGAGTGCCTTCGTTCCCATGTCGGCCAGCATACGGACACCAGGGACGTGGTGCATACTCCAGCTCTGATCCTCCAACCTCCATCTGAGATTGAAGGCTCTCACTCTCAAGTGCCTTGTTCTCCAGCTCCCGCTTCCCTCCGAAGCTATTGCCATCGCCGATGAGCTGTCCGTCAGCAGCTGCCGCACGTAGTGGTTGCCGGCCGCCTCTTCAATCTCGGCCACGAGCGCCTCCACGCTTTCGCCCATCACGATGCCCTCCAAACACTCCGCCAACTCGGACTCCGCCGTGCTCATGGTGGGAAAGCTCTGCCTCGAACTTCTCCATGCGATAGCCCCACCATTCCACAGCACCGCCACAGATCCATGGCTCAGACCGCCACCCGGCGAGAAGGAGGCATCCGTGAAGACCTCAATTCTTCTCTCCTCCAGGCCAGACTCACCGGTGCCCACCTCTGCTTCCAGCCACAGGCCAACCTCCTTCGTCTTCTGAAGGTATTTCCACACCTGGGCCGCCAGCTGCAACACCCACTTAGGCGCCTTGGTCACCGCCGAGGACATTCTGCTCGTGACATACATCAGGTCTGGCCTCGTCTTTGTGGTCAACCAAAGGATCTCCGCCACGGCCCTTTGCGCCGCCTGAACATCCCCAGCTTGAATATTTTCCTCCTCCGGGAGTTCCGTCATCTCACGGGTGATCGGCAACGCAGACCCATGACCACCACCACCGTTCCTATTGAGGACCTCCTGGATGTAGGCCTGCTGCCCCAAGTAGAACCCTCTCGCGGTTCTAGATATCTCCATTCCGCAAAAACGGACCTTGGTTCCCTCCTCAATCTTCTCCGGCTGGCTCGTCTCCCACATTGCGCTTATCTCGCGGGCAAAGTCCTCGAGCAGCCCTTCTTCTCCGTATGCCAATATGTCATCCACATATACCACGACCACACCTTCAAGACGCGTGCCTTTCTCAGCTCCTCCCAATCTTGCCGTAGAAGAGCTCCGCGTCGTAGCCTCACCAGTGTCCATCTCCGAGAGAACCTTCCAGACGTTAGGATCCGCAATCGACTGATCCATCCAGAAGACTCTTCCTTCTTTCCTCCACTCCATGTCACGGACGCGCTCATCCCTGAAGTTGGCCCACCGCTTTGGCGATTCTCTGAGTCCATATAGAGCTCGCTCCACCGCCCAGAACTCATCTCGCCGACACAGGCCGAGCTGCACCAAAATCGCTGGCGGCCTCATCAAAACCACCTTGGTGCCCTGGCCCTCCTTCATCACCGACTGCAGAGGAGCGTTGAGGAAAGCGGTCTTGATGTCCAAAACCATGCCGGCCCATCCTCTCTCCGCGGCATACTTCGTTGCCGTTCGGATTGACATCGCGTCTGAGCCGCCCGCGTAGAGCGACTCCTCCTGCTCCTTTCCGCCACCCTCTGCATAGTTTCCGCAGATCACCAACCGACACTTCTTCTTTCCTGCTGGCGCCTTGATGGTGGTCACCATTTTTCCAGGCATCACCTCCACCTTGATCATGGGGTCATCCATCATGGCCTTGGCCTCCCCTTGACTCACGATCCTCACCGCCTTCTTCTCCTCCAGCAGCGACTGCATCTCGGCCTTGATTGCCGGCAGCCACTCCTCACGATTCTTCATCACTTCTGCTTGTCCCACCATCCTTGTTTGGAGAACTTGCCGTTCTTCTGCGCCCGGAAGCTCCTCAATCAACTTCTCCTCTTCCTTCTGCAACTCCCGAACCTTCACGGCCGTAACTCCAAGCACTTCTCCTTCATCCTTTTCCACCGCTAGCTGCTCCTCATAGATGACCTGTCTGAGTGCTTCCAGCCTCCTTCGGTCTTCGTCTCTTTCCTCTGCAGCTCTTTTCCCTCTGATCCTCCTCCTGACTCGATGATCATCAATGGCATCCACCTGCTCCTCATCTCGAGGCTCTCTTACCCCAGTGATCACCTTGGACACCACCTCCACCTTGCCATCTTGCCGAAGGATTCCATGCCCCTTCGTCACCTCTGGGACCTCCGCCAGGTAGCGCGCCTTCTCATGAGTTGGACCGAATGGATCCCTCAACTTCTTCCATGACCTCTTCGGGACCCAAACCTCCTCCCCAAACGCCGCCACCATCTTTTCTCCCTTCGTCCTCTTTTCTTCCGCCACCACCGCATACCTCGCCGCCATGGGCCAGAACTTCACGTCCATCTCGGCCCCTCGTAGCAGCCTCCTCACCTTGCTCTTCAAGCTAGCAATGCAGGCCTCTGCCCTTCCATTCTCTTGCGGGGAGTCCGCGCTAGTGGTGGTTTTCGCCACCTCCCTCACGAGACACCAGCTCCGAAGATCATGGTTGAGGAACTCCTTTCCGCGGTCCGTGTGGAGCCGTTGAACAGGGTACCCCTGCCTCTTCAACTGGATGTAGATGTCCTGGATACCCTCCAGCACCGTCTTTGCCTTCTTGTTTGGTAGCGGGATCACCTTCACAATGACCTTGAGGGGCCTTGGCTCTCCACACTCCTCTCTTGCAAGCTCCTCATCTCCTCTCCCTTCACCACGGGCGTCTCGTAGATCTGGTTCTCCACGTTCCGGCTCCTCCGCTCTTTCTTCTTCTTGGATGCCCTCCTCGATCACCGGGAGGTCCTCTTCCTTCACTTTCTCGTCTTCTTCCTCCTCCGGAAACGGCTTCCCTGGTTCCTCCTCCACGGGCCAAGTGTACGTTCCGATGAGAAAGTAGCTCACCGTGGCATCGTTGATGTCCTTGCCCGGCCGGAACGGACCGCTGAGATCCAAGCTCAACACCGCTGCTTCCGGATAGGCAATTTTGCAATGCCTCCTTCCCCGAGCAGACGCCTCCTGACAGACCCGGCAGTCCCGCCTGAAGGGGGTATGCCCGTGCAATAGGTGCTCCCGCCAACTCAGTTTGCAATTCCTCGCTGGCTTTCTGAACACCTCCTCCTGCACCGCCCGGGCAACCTCCCTCATCATGCCTGGGGCCCACCTTGACAAATCCGCTGACGACTTCACCGGCGCTTCACTCCTTGTTCTTGCCGTCGTGGATCTAGCCGTCGGCATCTCCAGATGTAGGTTCGTGGCCACCATTGTCGGCTTGACCGCGGCTCCTCCATAGTCACCTTGCCTGAACCGGTACTCCACCAGCCCATGATCATCTCTCAGCCTTTGATAGCTGTCTGTCCTCCACCAGGAACCACACTCCGGCACGTAGTCCGGGGCCTCCGGCTGCTCCAAAAGGAAAGCCACCCGCTTCTTCTCAGAGCTGCAGGATGCACATCTCTTCCGACCTTCCTCCGCCGCACAGAAGATCATCACCATGCGGTACAGGAGCACGTCGTCCTCCCACACCTGCGTTCTCTCCTCCGGGTCTAGATTCGGCAACCCAAACCAGTGCTCCGGATCCGAGCTCCTCACTGGCCTTGGTCGGCCCGCCGGAAGTGGGTAGTGCCTCAACACGCTTCTTGTCCTGCAGTTCGGCCCACCAACCACTCCCAAGATCATGCCACTCATCGCTGCGTGCATCAAGGAGGCATAGAGGTCGTCCTCCATCATGTCATGCCGAGGTCCTCGCTTCACGTCAATCTCCACCAAGCGAGTCTTGTCCCCGCCGACCTCCTTGAGCGCTCTCCCCAACGTGTAGCCGTCATCCTCCCCCGCGTAGAGGTGCAGCACAAAGCCATCCAAGAGCTTCCTCCTCCGGGACCGATTCAGCGGTATTCCGCTCAGATCCTTTGCAGGCTGAATCACCACCTTCTCCATGATCTCCACCGGGATGCCCTTGAAGACCTCCTCGTTTCTCGCCAGGTTCACCACCACGCTCTCCTCATTCATTCTTTTCACCGTCGCGTTCTCCCTCATCTCCAACTCCTCCAGGGCGTTGATGAGAACCAGCGCAACCTTCTTCTCCACCTCGGGGCATCCTGCGTTCATCCGGACCTGGATCTCCCCCATCACCGGATGCCTCAATTGGCAAGCCCCTTTCTTGTTCCACCTCACCTCGCAGCCCAGCTTCTCCACTAACATCCCGAGAGGAACGATAGGCTGCACTCTGTCATCCTCATGAACGATCACCTTCCCCGCCGTCATCCTCAGCAGCGTCTTCTCCCCACCCGCCAGTTCGACCTGGATCTCTTCAAGGCTCTGCCAATCATCCGATCCGCATACTCCTCGCATGGCATGCGTCGCCCCCGAGTCCAGCAATCCATACTCCGGCAGGTAGTCAATCTTCGACACCTTCACGAACCTCAAGGCTCTCAACCTCTTCATCTGGTCCAACTGCTTCTGCAAGTCGTTGAGCCTCCCATCTCTGTCCTCGCGCCCCGTCGAAGTGGCCGCTTTGATGTTGAGAGATCGGAGCATCTTCCCGGCCTCTTCCAGCACCGATTGCAGCCCGTCTCCCTCCTTGGCGTCCTTAGCGTTCTTGGCGTTCCCCTTCGACGTTGCCAGTGTCGCCCCCGAGGACTCAGCTTGGTCTTCTCCTTGATGACCGCTCTCATCATCGTCCACCTCCGTCACCTTGGCGATCTTGCTAGGCGACTTCTCGGTCCGGTTGCCACCCTCCTTGTCCTGCTGCTTCCTTGGACAGTCCTTGCGGTAATGATCCACCGCTCCACACTCGTAGCACCGGTTTCTCTCGTCCTTGGCCTCGTGGCTGAACGTACACTGTCGCCCTCGTCGACATCCAGCATCCGTGAGATAGTACCGGCAGGGCTTCCTTTCTCGCACATCTCCTTCTTTCTTAGGAGACCGCCCATCCCAGCCTTTTCCACCTCCGCCTCCCGATGCTGTTCCGGCTCCCTCGAACTTCTTGATCTTTGCGTCGTAGTCCGGGGCCTTAACCATCTTTTTCTCCGTGTGCACCAACTGCTCAAGCTCCGACAGAAGGTGCTCGCAGTAAGTGCTGATCGTGCCGTAGTTGGGCACGGTGTCCACCTGCAGGGTCGATCTGGCCAGGCTGATCTTGAAGCTCAGGTCCTTGTTGCCCTCCAGCACCTTTTTGGTAAGCCTGTGCAACCCTCTGCTCAGGACCGAGGGGTCTGGCAAGGAAACCCCGATTTCTTCCGCTCTTCGCTTCCACCTCAGCCATCTCCTGATCCCCTGAACTGCCGCCTGAATGGTCGTCGCCTCCTGCGGCTGTTCCAAGTTCTTGAGGATCGACGACCTCTCCGCCACTCCTCCTGGTTGGTACAGCAGCATCAACCGGCACACCAAGGAGAACACCTCCAGGCTCTTGGTCGCGATCAGCTCCTCCTTGACCTGGTCCGGAAGGGCCTTCATGAGCAACGTCACCGCGCGGCGCTCCACCCTTCTCCATTTCCCGTTACTCACCTCCAGAGGGGCCGTCGGAGTCAACAACAGCCGCTGTAGTGGGGGCTCCGTCATGTACCTGTCGTACCAGCTCTTCGTGTGCTTAAGCATCAACTCCCACCACTCCTGACTGGTGTCGGAAAGGTCCGCCATCACCGGACCCACCATGGTGAGCCAGTCCTGAAGGTCGATCGGCCCGGTGTCTGCGCTCAGCTCCGGCAACATCGGCAAATCCACCGCCGACTTCACCACCTCTGCGTTCACCTCATCGCCTCCATGACCATTGTCCAGGATCTTCTTCTGGATCTGTTGCATGCCCTCCATGAGCTTCAGAATGAGGTTCAGGTGCGCATTTCCATCTTGAGGTTGATCTTCCTTGATCAGCTCCTCCGAAGATTCCGCCGCTTGCCCTTGCCCTCGTTCCGCAGGTTTGCCTTCACATTGTCCCTGATCCAGTGCTCGTCCGGCACCTCGCTTCTCCACCTCCATGTCCGGTGTCGCGTAGGTCTCCTCCGACTGATTGCCCTTCCTGAGCTTATCATTCTCTGCCCGAAGCCTCTGGATCTCCATCATGAGGTACTCCTGCATCCGATCGGGCCGTGGCACTTGTCGCGCGCCTTCTCCTTGTCCCGCTCGAGGTGCTCCATCTTCAAGTTCCAGAAACTCAGGCCTTTTCAGGCTCGGCTCTGCTGCAGCCTTCCGGCCACCCAGATTCACCAATCCGCCCGGCCTGTCCCACCTCTCCAGGTACTCCAGCTGCTCCGGCGTGAAGAGTGGCCCATAGACCACCGGGTCACCCTGCGGTCCTCCTCCCCATTGTGATTGTTCCCCAGGATCTTGACCTTCTCCTCCACGTTCGCCTGCTGCGGCCCACGGATTTCTCTGCGCTGAAGCCGCTGCCGTAGACCACAATCTCCTCGGCATCATCGTGCCCTCCGTTCCCTTTGTCGCCGGGGTCCTGCTCGCGTCCATGTTCTGCAGCACCGCCACCTCCTGGCCGATGAGCTCGAGCCCGGGGGCTTCCTCCGGCGATCCATTCGCAGGCCCAGACCGGCCTCTTTCTCCACTTCGGGCTTCCTGCCCTTGACTCTCCGCCTCCGTGGCCCCAGTGTCCTCCGCCTGGCCCACGTCCATCAGCGGCAGCGGCTCCGGTCCTTGCCCATCAGGGGTTCCCGCGCCACCTTCTCCTCGACCTTTGCCATTGCGGCGTCGAGCTAACATCGCCTCGAATTTGGGCTCATAACCTGCTCAGCTGCAGGATCTTTTCTTTGACCAAAAAACGGCTTCCGTGCGAATCTTCATGTTCAGCAATAATAAAAAAACGTGCCACATGACAAGCGAGGAACCCAAGACACGTTGAAGCAGGGCTGCCTCTCGCGGCCTAAGCGCTCAAGGTACGCCTTCGTCTCCGCGCTCATGGCTGGGTTGAAATTGTCAAAGACTCCGCCAGCCTAGGCACGGAGCATGAGGGCATGGGATACCATCCTGATTGACATGCCCAAAGGCCAGCAGATTGGGAGCGGAATCCAATTTTTTGGGGGAGCTTTCTTTGGGGCTCCGCTCCAGGTGTCTTTGCGGAGGCTGTCCTTCACTTCCCAAACTCCGCCGAAGCCTTCGACCCAAGCTAGGCATTGGGATCACCGGAAGCCCATTCTGACCCGAGTTGAAAAACACATCACTTGGGATTGTCTTAAAAGAGGAACCCCGAACATAACCGACTGTAGGGGGAGAGCCACCCACTTGATACATGACATGCTTCCAGGTAGCTGGCAGCTGCTTTGTCAGGAAGTGATCTGTGTGCTTATCATATTTAATATGGTCCACTTGAACTCATGGGAACCCACCAGATTCAGCTTTGTATCTCAAGTCGCTTGGTTACACGTGTGATGCATTTTTGGCGCATCATTACAAGAGCCTCATTACCAACATCCTTCCTGTGCGTTTGACTATAGCTCAGGCGCTTGCCCCTGGTCGGCAAAACTGAGGTCCGGACGTCGTGCTTAGGATCGATGGTATGCCTTCTTGTGATCTTTACGTCTGGCTCCAGGTAGATCACATACCTGGGCTCAGGATGGCTGAGGGGTAGGCATAGGGCAAGGCTGGCTTCAAGGAGTAAGTTTAGATTGGAGGCTTAGGTGTTCGGATGAGGTGCAGGTTGGTTGAAGACTGGCCCAAAATCTAATAGTGACCAGGTCACATTCAGGTGCGGATTCCCTTCGTTGTAGCCATACAAGGAGTGCAAATGCTTTTTGTTGTCGTGCCTAGGGCATCCGTATCTGTCCACTTGTGTTGGTGGTTTGTCTTAAGTACAAGCTTTGCTAATGGCAGCTGAAGAGCAAAAGCGAAACCTGCCAAACAATACTCGTAGACACACTAGGAATGACTTCAGGTTTGAGAACTAGTTCTGGTAGAAATTGACCCTTGCCGTGCGATCTGATTGAGTGACGCTTTGACTTTAACCTGCTTTCATTTCACGACATGCTCCGCTGGTTGACCACAGGAGCCTTAGAGGGGACATTGACCGGGTCTGGACTTCCGGCTTCCGGAAAGCTCGTGAATTGACAACTCGGTGGCGCAAAGTCATGCGTGCTTCTGCAGCCGGAGCATTGCCCCTTGGGGCCGCTAGACTATTGAAACCACGTGCATGGCTCAGCATCCTATCAGAAAGAGAGGCAGTTCTTGCTTCCAGTAATTGCTGAATGTACACCCTTTGATATGGGTTGAAAAGCCTCCGCTAGCTTCCGTTCTGCGGTCAACATGGTGCCCAGCCTTGTAGTTTGCTTGTCAAGGTGAGTAGGACATGATCAAGATATGATTCGATATGTACATATACACAATTATACACACACACACACGCAAACAGAAACAGTACACACACAAAAACAGCTTTATGGATGGCTAGCGTTTTGAAACTCAGTTTTTATTTGATTCATATATACTCCTAAATGCAGCTGAACAACGTTTCCGTTCCCAGGCAAAACGAGAGGATGGAAACATGTGGCAAAACAAAAGGCTCAAGCTGTGTCTCTGTACAAGACCCCCTCCCTCATTAACTTGGACAATCGGGGTGGACCCGATTGTTTTCTCGTATGGTACTCCTCCGGGAGCTGGCCTGAAGCGAGTGGCATACTCCGCAAAAGGGTTCCCAACCCGGCCATCCTAAGTCTCCTGGCTGAAAACGAGGCTTCAAATCAACCCGACTTGGGCTAAGATCAGTCGGAACTGCCAGCCTTCCGGGCCCTGGCACCCCGACCCCCCCGACCCTCCGACCCTCCGGCCCGGCCGAAGCGCTCCGTGCCCAGCGCAAGAGTCGCCGCCCGCATGCGCGCGAACCAGCTGTGGGGATTCCAGCGGCTGTTCTCCCCGCTGGCGCGCTGGAAGGTGCAGTTGAACCTTCGCTCCAGCGAAAAAAAAAAATGCTCAATGCCCGGTTGCCTAAAGCGCTCAACTTCCTTTAGATCTGTTCCACCGCCATCATGTGGGAGTGACTTTTGCAGGGGAGCACCCTCAAATGGTGGTTTTCCTTCTGATTTCCCTTTAAAAACCGCAAAAAGGGGGTACCCTCAAAAAAAGACACCCCATGCAATCATGAAGCAATGTGAGATGGTCCCCATTTTGGGACCTAACGTTGGACAGCTCCCTACCCTCCCTCGCTTGATACTCCTGGACAACAGCAAGGCCCGTTTCGTACCAAGCCATAACTTGGTTCCTGATTGGGCTGGAAGGACTTCTTACCTAAGCCAGTGCTTACAGGCAAGCCACTATAGTGCGTAACTTGTACATCATGGTTTCAGTGGTACCTGGAAGCAATGGGTCAAGTTGCCTCCAATCTTCCCCCAAATGTTGCACCCGTCCAAGTCCTGAATGTCCTGTCAAGCTGAACCACGTGGCGATGATGGACATCGTTCAGATTGACTGATTTGCCCTCTCCAGATCCCCCAAATTGGCAAAGGAGTATCCCAGCCGCGAAATACACAGTTGAGCTGAAAAAATAAACCCGTATTAAAACTCTTTGTCCCAAGTTGTCTTCATTGCAAATCCACGCGGTGGTCTTCATAAGCATGAGGTCCCCAAATAGCATGCCCCTTTAAGTGTATGAGGTCTCATGTGTATGCATCGCTTCAAATTTTCTGCTAACAAATTCACTCGGCAACTAACAAATTCACTCGGCAAAATTGCTGGGATCTGCAGAAAAAAGAAAATGCAAAATAAAGAAATGGGCCACTCCTGCTCCAAGCAGTTTGGGGGCCCATGGTGATGATGATGATGATGCTGATGATGATGATCATGATGATGATGATGAAGATGAAGCATCACTGCGTCACTTGCGCTTCACTTGCGCTTTACTTGCGCAGCCCCATGTTTGACTTGCGCGGCCGCTCCTGCAACACACTCCTGCCCTTCAAATTACAAGCGGCGGTGCAGCTGATTTGATACTTCCAAAACAACTGGGACCATGCCTTACATTGACACATACAACGGGTTTTCTTTTTTGGCTCAATTGTAGCTTGACCAAATCAGGAGGGAAACGCATTGGACACCCGTTCAACAGGGAGGGAAAACCGTGCCCCAACAACACTCTGTCGGGAAGAACCTCGCCATCACTAACTCAATACACCGCAAAACTGGCGACGTCATTCATTCTCAACGTCGCCGCCACTTGAGGCGGAAGGGAAACCGCCCCAGCAACTTTGACTTTCAAAGTCCAAAGGACCCAAATGCACTCCCTCCCACTCCCATTGAAGGGACCAGGGCCCTCCTTTCGTCCGTGGATGGGAGAGTCGAGCAGAAAAGGGAGGTGCCGCAAGCCCCGAAAGAAGGAGCATTCAAACAAGGGGCCTGAATTGCAGACGTGCCCTGTGATGAAAGGAAAGAATTTCGGATTTGAGCGCAGGAGAAAATTGCTTGTTTTTCTTTAATAAAAATTGGGCTTCCCCTGGCACCAGTTTGGCAGAAACGTAGCACCCCCACAGCAGTCAGGCAGCCGAGCCATCCGGCACAAGGGCCCAAAGTCCATGGATCCGCCATCCTCGATCGGGAATCGGAACGCCAAACAGGACCGGTTTTCCTTGGTACTCCTTAGGTGAACACTTTGGGCCGTCAAATGGGCGAACCCAAAATGCGGCAGAGACCGTTTGGTTTCCCCAATTTGTCCCCCAACTGGAAGCAATAGTGGTTTCCGAGAAGCTTTGAAGGGCTTGGGGGCTGGGGATACACCTGGGCTTCTTCTACCTCAAAAGTGGTGCCCTCAGAGGCAAACCCATTTGTCCCAAAGCGCCACAAGAAACCTCGTGAGCGGGCCTCATCAGAAAATTAACGCAGGCCTTTTCCTTCCAAAAGGTCGAACGTGCACATAAAAGCTTGGAGAGATATGATGACAGTTTTACCACCAAACACTGATTGGGGCCTCAAAACTCGCACCCTGATAACATATTCTCCGTTTCTCATATTATGCCAATGGTACAAATCTTCATCGGGCCCTTCGAATCGTTTAACTTGAATTTGCACTTGGCTGGTCGCTTCAAGGCTGTGTCCAAGCGTTGTTGGGGTTGCTCCCATTGTGTCTCGAGGCGAGCGGTTCTTTTTCCAATAAGACAGTCGGACCGCGTCTTGGTTGCTGTTGACCCCCCCCTGCAACAAATTTCACTTTTTGGGGGTTTAGTGCAAAAAACCCTGTATTTCCCAAAAAGTTCAAGTCTCAAGATCCAACCCCATAGCAGTCGGACCGCGTTGCCTTCCGAGACTCTTGCAGCACATAAATCGGCGCTTCCGGGTAGAATCGCCTGGCAGACTTCAAAACCTCCACCACCCCCTCGATCTGGTCATGCACGGGGAAGTAGAAGCCAAAGCGCTGCTTCACTGGCCTTGCCAAAGGACCCAGAAACAGGCTGCTTTTGCAGGACACGGTGAAGATGACGGCACTTCCGATGGAGTGCGCTTTTTGGTGGTTCAATCGGTGAGAAAATAGAGGGGTCGACCGGAATGGGCCCATGAGGACTAACTTGAGGGTAAAGCAAGCCCTCATTTTCCAACTCCAAAAATGTCTGCCTGCCAAAACCCACTGCTTTGAGGATCGGATCACAATCCCTCTTACATGAGGAAATGTTCCCTAGCATAATTTTTGATCTTCCAAATACCTTCCAGGTGACATCTTACGGGAAGGATGGTAAATATCAGGGGGCGAACCACCTGTTGAAACATGTTGAAGCACCCCTTGCTCAGACATGGTCACACTGTTTTTTGCACAGCCTCCATGCTTTCCCTAAGGGGATTCCATATGCTTAAGCCCAGTAAAACAAAGATCATATGTCCAGTAGTTTAAAACCAACAGGGGACATAAGACATGATCTTCAGCAAAAATCAATCAGGTCTGGTCGTGACCCATGTTGCCCGGTTTCTCAACTCCGCTTCAGCCGAGCTTCTTCACGCCGGAATGCAACAGTGACCTGAGAGCTTCCGATGGGCTGTGGGCAATAAGACCCTCAACAGGGATTGTATTTGTTGTTTTCACTGGCCCCCTTTTCAAGGTTGGTAAGGGAAATTACCAGGATCCCCGCAAAACAAATAATTGAGCCCTGCAAAAATAGCGATAGACTCCTCTGCGATCACAAGTTGCTTGCGCTAACGATTACACGCGGCAAATCATAACTTGCAGCACGCGCGTAGCAAGCAAAGTACCCTATGGCAGCCCCAGCTTTCACACACACAACTTGGCAGTACAAGCAAGTACACGAAGTACACTTTGGCAGGGTCCCAGGATTCACGATTGGAAGACGAAGCTTGCGCGCGGCTTCCGCAGAGCGTGCGCGGAGCTTATGCTGATGGCATGCCTATTTTTGCAAAAAGCAAAAAATCCAACATGCCCAGCATCGGGCTTTGAGAACGAGTGCACTTCGGCAGCTCCGGCTCGAACGTTGTAAAGTTTCAGTAAAAGTCATAAACGCGCAGCTTACGGAAGAAAACTGGTAACAACGTGCTTGCGCGCTTTTATGCGACTGCATGTTTAGCTTGCGCAGGCCTGTGTTAGTTCAAGCCCTCTACGAAACATGAAGAGAACAGTTTTTTAGCGTGGCTCAAATGTTGGGGTCCCCGATTCTTTGACACATATCCTGGGAAAAATGTGAAAGTGTTGGGGTGGTGGGGGGGGGGGGGAATGCGTCAGGATTCGGCTGGCTCGCGCGGGTTTGCGCGGATTTACGTGTGCGAGCTTGAAAGGGTTTGCACAACGGGTTTGAGGGCACGAGCTGGTGCAAATCGGTGCGCGTCGAATTGTGGACGCATCTACACCGCAATGAACATGAGGAAAAGCGTCTTCAAGGAGACGCACCCTTCTAGAAACTACTTGAAAGATCCGAGTGGAGTTTGCTTGTACTGGGTTGGTCTTAGACCCCGGTTAGTGTCCAAAAGGTCAAAAGGCTAACGGTTGTACTAAAGCCCCTTTACGCCTGTACACATCGAGGGAAACTTTGTCGACAGCGGCCTGGAAAGTGATGAGGATTGCCAGCTCCTTTGAGACCCCTTGTGACAGGTACTCCTGAAGGAGGTCAAAGCCTAAAAAGTGAACACCTCCAGAACATCCGCTGCCAAAGCAAAGCCCACCCTGCGAAGATCCAAAGGCGTGCCTCGGCCAAGCGGCTGGTTCTGGGTTCTAAGGCTGCTGTACTGGCGCTTCAGGCATTCGTGGGGGTCCGATCCAGGCTTCATAGGCTTGTGGTGTACACGGACTCGGGCGCAGTCGAAGTCCGCCTTGCACTGAAAGCTCGTCTGGTAATTCCAGACGCACTTGTCCACCTCAAAAAAAGCGAGGCAAAGGCGCCGTGCCACATGTTGGATCCCTTGTCAGGATTGCCTAGTTTGGACCCTCACCTGTTTTGTCGGGGCCGAACACCCAACAACAAAAACAAAAAGGAGGTCCCCAAGCAGTCTTGGGCATGCACAAGAAGCATCCCCTACCTTTGCCAGCAACGACAAGCTCTTGCATGAGAATAGACCAGTTGGGATGCATCCATTTGCTTAAGTGCCTTAGAACACATATATGTCCATTATAGTGATAGATTTCCTTAAAACAACAAAAACAACAATAGTGGAAATCAACAAAAACATATTCTTCACCAAATGGAGGGATGACACCATGTACCAGGGATGAGACCCTACGAAACGCTCTGAAACCCCACCAACCGGTGGCCCCACCTGCAGCGCAGTGAACTTCTCGCCCACCTTGAGCAAACGCTCCTGATCCACATCGAACCCAGAAACATGTCGCGAGGAACATATGATTGTGGCGCAAAATTAAGGAGCTGGGGTTACGCCAGTTTTTATTTTGTTTGTCTTTGGTTCCATTTACAAGGGGGCCATTTTGGTTCATTTATATCGTGTTTAGGGGCACCCTTTTTGGGAATCTAGGTCAACCCGAAACCTAAGCCTTGCCGACTGGCCAGAAAAAGCTTTTCTTTGTTGTGGGGCTCCTTGTGTGCCCAAAAAAAAACACCTAAAATCCCCGAAGGCGCTCGCTGGGGGAACAATCGTTTGGGGTTCCACCGTTTTCCTTTCCGTGATGCTAACCTATAATCATTGCACGTATCATGAATGTGTGTCGCAACAAGAAGCTCGTTTGTGGACAATGGCAAACCATCTGAGAGTGGGTTGCTTTGATTTTGCTCCTAAAGCTGGATTGTATTTTGTAATGTGAGGATGTTTTCGAGTGGCTAAAAGTGGCTAAAACACCTTCTTGGGTACCAAACAAACCCTAGGTCCTCCAGTAGAGAGGTTAGATTAAGGGCACCTTTTTATTCTGTAGTCTATTTTAGTGGGGGAACCCTCCCCCAAAAAGGGTGAGAAAGGGCACTGGGGGACCTAGAACCCTTAGAGCTCCGCGAAAGAAATTTCACCTCGCGCTCCTTCAGAGCCGCCTGGCGCTTGTAGAACACCGTGTGGAAGAAGCCCTGTCCTCGGACTTCCGCCGGAAAAAACTCGCCGCCGCCAACTGGAAAATGACACCCTCCCACCAATTCACATGGAACCTGACAGGGGGGTCCTGGAAGATTCATTGTCCTTTTGAAGGGACCCTCTGCCAGGTTCCATGTGAAAAGGGTGGGAGGGTATGAGTTAAGAAAAATAGAAGTTGGAAGAACATGGCCGAAAATCAATGAGGGACCCTTTTGATTTATGTCCAATTGTTTTGGGTGCTCACCGAAGAGAAACAGAAAACTAAAAACACACATACATCCACTTCCCCAAAGTGATGTGGGGGCTTGGGCCTTGCCACCCTGAAGCGAGGCTTCGAGGATTAACAAGACCCTCATTGATTACGCGGAAGATGTCCGATCTTAGAGGGGATCCTTCACTTTCTGAGGGTGCACTTCTCACATCACCCCATCAAGTAAACCCTTGAATCTGCCCAAAAGGTGATGTTTCAAAGCACCCAACACCGGAAATATAGGGAGCCCTGTACAAACGCGGTGCCGCCAGCTTTTGCGGTTTTTTTTTTCTCTCTTTCTCGGAGCCAAAGCGCCGCACTCGCCGCCCACGTAATACCCGCCGCAGGGCTTCCAGCCCTCCCGGGCCCAGCCGCTCTCTTGGGAGTAGGAGGCCTCTGATGCGAAGTCTTCTGCGGCCTGAATCGCATCGCTGGGATCCAACAGGAAGGTCTGTGCGACGGGGGTCTTTGCTAAGCTTAGGTCTTCGCCAATACTTTGAAGCTTTCCCCAAAAGGCCAAGAATCGTTTCACAACATTCATCGTCAGGTCTCAACTTGAGGCTGGGCTCGACGTCTCCAGAAAGACTCTTGGCGTGACAGCCAACGGAAAACACAGCAAAATGAAAAGAGAATCAGAGCCCCACTGGCCACTCTAATCAAAGCGGCAGTGATTCCCTAGGACTGCTTCATAGTGAGTAAAGGTGACTTACTAAGGGTATCACAGAAACTGACTCCCACAGCACCTCATTTCCCACTACTACCCCTTCCTAACATCACCTGAAATCCGGACAGGGGTCACTGAAGTTCCCCTTCCAACTTTCATGGTCAAAGGTGGTTTCCACTGCAACTGCTGCTTTTCGAGATTCAAACTTGAATAACAATTGCGGAACCACTCAACCCTTCCCACAACAACAACACCCTGCACACATCCGGCAGCCCGACCCAAACAAAGCCGCTGCACCATGTGGAAAATCCCCTTTCCTGTGATCCCGATGTAGGCAATCTTACTACTTCACCCCAGGCTTTCCACATGTGCACTGGGGAGCTCCGCCTGAAGCAGTTCCTTCCGCGGCTTCGCAGCGAAAAAGCCCACGTTGAGTGCCTCCCCAATGCCCCCGTTGGTGGTCAGGAAGTGGCCTCGGGTGTCGGGGAAGTGGCCTCGCTTGGGGAACCTCCTTGGGCTCCCTTGCCAGGTAGGCTTCTCACAAAGGGGAAGCGAATTACCCAATTCAACTTGCGTTCAAATGGGGGTAGTGCCAAAATCCAGATCCCCAATTTTTTGATCCAGCAAAAAGGCCCATTAACACAGTCACACCCATGCCCCCAACAATCCTTTTCCGGCGTGACGCCTGCTGCGGCGCACTGCAGCAGTGGTCTGATGTCGCCCTGGAATTCGATGTCATTGTCGAAGTAGGCCACGGCGTCATAGCTGTCAAGGCCTCGCCGGGATCCGCAAGAAAACGGTTCTGCCCGAAACTTTTGCACTTGTGAAAGTGTCTCTGCCCCGATGTAAACAAACTCACTCACCATAATGGACCCTTTCATGGTGGCTCGGACAGTTGAGAGGTTTTAGAATCACCCCAATCCTAGGGTTCGTGTGGCATAGAGCACCCAGGGCCAGGGTCGCTACAAACCAAACCTTGGTTGCTTTGCATGATGGCCGCAAGCCTTGCATTCCTCGCCCAGAGGGACCTGCAATATACTGCAATCTGGCTCCCCTGCTGCAAAATTCAAATACCCTCCAAAAGTGTCATCCAGTCCTGACGTGTCAGTAGCCGAGCTGCGCACTTTCCGAATATGGCTGCCTTCTGAGAAGAACCATACCTTACCATATAAGAGACATGTCCGGCTGGCAACATTACATTATTTTCAGACCCGGCAATCCGCTTGCCCGCGGGCCTAGCGCGTGGAGGCGGATGAGATCCTTTTGCCCGCACCAGTTCCTCAAGACGAATACTGGCGACTGGTTTCTTGGGAACCACGGCAAAAGGGGAAGGGGGGTAGGCTCATCTCTGTTTCACCTCTGATAAGTACATCCTTATTCAATGCTGGATTCGGCATTTGGAGTACATCTTTGGCCTGAACGTGATCCAAAGCGCGCCAAAAAGGAAAAGCTCTGATTGGCTGAGCTTCTCTTTCCTGGTGAACTTCATCTTCGGCGGCAGCGTCCAGTTCACCAGGCGCGTCTCAACACCTCGTATCAAACACCAGCTAGTATAGACACGGATGGGATGGGTTGTTCGGGATGGGTTTGGAACTAAAAAGGAAACCTACATTAGATGAACCAAACAAGCTGTAGCTTCTGACATGAAGTTCTTGAAGCGCATGGATGTTGTGAACGGGAAGTCGACATACGGACGTGCAAGCCACGCCATTTGGTTGTCGCCAACAAAAACGTGAGTCCACCTAGTCTCAGGGTGGGATTTTGTCTGAGGTTTGCCTCCCTGCCTGCGTCCCGCAAGCTGCGGCGCATGTCCGGATGAACGTCTGCAGCGTCCGCCTCGGGCAGCAGAAGCAGCAAATCCGCCTGGCCGCGCCGGTTTGCCCATGTTGAGAGGACACCTCCTTGCCAGTTCTCGTGTGGCTTCCGATAGGGGATGTGAATGTGAGCTATGATGCACCCAAAGCAGGTTTCGCCCGCTAAATCAGCAGAATTCTAAAAGTAAGCCGAAACCCTTGCAACTTTGGTTGCTTGGTTTCCGCGGCGGGAATTCCGAAAGCCCGGCGGTCAGTGGGTTCCCCCCGCTTTCTCGCCGCTTCGCCTCTGCCAGGTCCGCAGCGGCTTTTGCAGAGCGCAGGAAGGGCAAAGCAGTCGCAGGCATCTTCCCGACGTAGGAGAAGACCAGGGCAAAGCCTCAGGCGACTTTGACTTCTGGCTATTGGCCCCCTACCAAAGAAGGATGTGTTTCTTGATTGCACACTATGCACTGTGTCCCCCCCCCAAAAAATGGGCTGCAAATTTCCGAATATTTGTCAAGTTACATCCACTCAAGATCCCCAAAACAACCGCAGCGTTTACATCCAAATACAAAGGTGGTTTATGTTGTTTTTCTACAAAACAAATTTCCATGACTCGAGTGATTTAGGAAGCGCGTAGTTGTTTCCATCGCGGCAACACAATGACGGACAAAAGAGGTTCAGCCCGGCCGTGTCTCATTCTTGGTTCCCTCTGGTGCCTAGATCATTCTCAGTGTCTTCCGTGAGTTTCCTGTCGATGCGTGTATCCTGATTCTAGGACTTCAGGGATGTGGTCGAACCCAAAAGGCGCCGGGTGATTTGTTCACGCCATGAGATCTCCGACGAATTGTGCCGCATTCCTCTGCGTAAGGTTGGGAATGTCTCCCTCCCAAATCGGTGAAAGTGTTGGCTCATTCATGACTGCTTGGCCGGTCGAAGTGAACAGCAAGGAACAAGAGTATTTAAGAATAAGAAAGGTCCCAATTTGGCAACCGGCCACATGGGGCAGGAAGTTCACATATCTACAGTCCAACTGCCAATGCCATCCAAGACAGCATGGGCTTGTCTCTCGAAATGACTTTAGAGGGGACCGCAAAACGATCCAAAACGGGTTACTTCTTCTTGGTTTCAGAGAAACACATAGATTCGCGGATGCCTCCTCTAAATTTCACGCAAGCGTTGCCTTCCCTCCCCCCGCCAGTCAGCCTCCAGACACCTCCAGCGGTTCCAACGCGTTGCAGGTAGGTCAAAAATAAATCAGTTGGCCGCGACCAAAAGTGACTTATCATGACCGGGGTCCTTAGATGTCCCGTTCAAACGTCACCCGACCCAAACAAAGCATACTTTTGCTAAAGTGGCCCAACACGTGACGTTTAAAATCACACAGGGAAACACAAGCATCCCTGTGGTACGGTTGGGAAAGAACAGCAAAGGCTGAACACCTCTCCACGTCATTGTCACGGGTATCCATGTGTTGCATCATCCGAACTTTCTATTTGGGCCTTAGTAACTAGCCTTGCCTGTTTGTTGGGCATTTGGTGAACATTTGGTTTCTATGTGCTAAAAGAAGTGGCTGCTGTAAAACAACAGAGTCAACCCATTGCCACTTGGCCCCCGGGTTTTATCAGCAAGCCGCGGCCGCTCTGCTTCTTCCACGCTTTGGCACAAAGCTCTACGTCTGCGCAGGGCACAAAGTCATGCCCATCGTTGCCTCGCCCGCAACGCACCGAGCACTTGCAACAATCGATTGGCAACTCCCCACAGGAAAAACAACAAAAAAACAGACCACACATTGTATTTGTCTACGAGGGAGAATCATAGGACGTGAAGATTTGCCCGAAATGACCCACTTGGACCTAAGCAAATTCTGGCTATTGTGATTTTCACTTAGATCCGGTCGGGCAAAGCATGTGTGGGGGCCCAACTGTATAGGGAGCAAGCCGTCTGCAAAATGTGCAACATTGCCAAGACAGTGTCCAAGTGAGAGGATCCTTTGTCGTGAGTGGGACCGCTGGCTATCCCAGTCTTTAGCTTGCGTACCCTGCATTACAAAGGCGCTTCACAGCCCAACGGAAGGGCAGCGTCCATAAACCCTGAATAGACCCCCCAGATCAGGGTTCCATTTGACCAATGGGGGAGCTTGCCAAAACATCTGCGGGCTTTTGGGCCCACGTATTGATTCGCGCTGCCTTAGAAAAGGATGGGACCCCAACATGCTCGATCGCGTGTCCACTATGCCCTTAATCGTTGCAAGTCCGAGCTGTTCCCTGTCTGGCTTGAATTTGTGATTCGCGATGATCCTTGCCGTGATTTTTTTGGGGAATGATTCTTCTCTCAAAAGAGTATGTGCTGGCATGCCAGCCTTGAATCATTCCCGGCATTCCAAAAAAAAGACAGGTGTCTTTTCACAGTTTATGAAGCACGGAGCACAACGATTGGTTGTGCTCCGTGGCTTACTTGATCGCCATGGCTGGTTCTGGACACCTCCCTCACGACAAGTTGCAGCAATCCGAGCAGCCACGCACTGCGGGCAGCTGGTGGAGCCTGAGTTGCCCAGAAGGCAATGAGCTCCTTCGGTGGGTCATGATGTCATCAAACCGTAACACGCAGACAAAAGGCAACGCCTGCAAGCCTGCAAGTGACGCGTGGTTGATTGTGTTTGTTTTGGAGTCCCTTGCCAACTGCATTAAACCAGCCTCAGGAATCCGCTCGGGGGTCTTGGCTCAGAGCAGGCTCAACCCCAGGCAGAATTCTCTAGCCGAGGGCACTGAATTGTCTCCAGCGGAGGCTGCAGGGCGCGACTCTGCCCGTCCGCCGAGATCTCGTGCCGGAGCAGCCGGGGCGAGCCGACTGCAGCCAGGGGCAGACTGACAAACAGCGCCAGGAACAGCATCCTGCGAACGGCAAATTGATCGGGAAACAATTTCAAATCAAGGAAAACCATGATCTAGCACACTCCCACTGGGAAGAACAGTCGTTGGGGGAGGCAGATGCAACTAAAACTACCACTGCCTCATTCGACCATACCATATATGAAAGGTGAGCTAGATGATTTTGTCGTGCAGTAGCTCTTCTTGACTCCCTTGTCATTGATGTTCCTGTATGTATTGAAGCCGTGCGAAACAAACGGTGACACATCTCCCGCTCCAGGAACTGTTGCGTGCCCACCATTACGCACTTGGCACAATCAACCGAATCAGGGCATAAACTTGAAGGTCCCATGCAATGACAAGCTGGCTTCGCAATGGACTAAGAAAGTCCCGGAGGAACATGAGGTTCAAGATCATTCTGAGACTTTGCAAATCGCATGGCTGAATGGTCTGCAAATCGCGGAATGGCTGAACAATCATGCTTGCCCTCCAAAAAGGAAGTCTAGCGTAGTGAAGCACTGCCAATTCAAGCATGCTGAGCGGTGCCAAGACCCATTGACTGCTGCCAATATCACAATTGTGCAGGTTTACACAGGCATAATGCCTTCCAAAGTAGAGAGTATAGCTCTTGGTCCAATTGGCCAGCAGGGCTTCTTGAGAACTGGACTCTTTGCCTTTCGAGGGGCTGTAGCAACTGTGTTCGCTCAATCTGAAATCAGACCCCACCCCGTGCTATGCAGGATTTTGCTTTTTTACCGGTAGAAACGAGCACGAATGAAAAGGGTGCCGCACCGGGACCTGTTGGAATCGGCTCGCTTTCCCCTTTTCTTGGTTGGCAACTGGCCTCTCCCCCCAACAGGACAAACAAGGCTGCGACAGGAAGTGCATGGGGGTGTCCCTGGGCTGGGGAATCATCACTATTGGAGGGGCTTCCACCCCCCGTGTTGAAACAAAAACACTGGGGTTGATTCATATGTCACCGTTCGCCCGGCGACTCCGTCCTCAGCGCAAAGGCCTAGCTTAGAAAGCCACGCCGCCCGGGCCGTCGGGCCGTCGGGCCGATGGCTGGAGCCAAGAGAAACCAGCCGTCCAGTTTGCTGCTCGAAGTGTTTGCCTTTTCGTTGTCCCACCTGAAACCAACCGCCCCTTTATTGTCGCCGGGCCAAAAGGCAAAACACGCGAGCTCTAATTTAGGTACTAATTGCAATGTTCGTACTCCTCACATCATTTTGAAACTGGTCCAGTGCTCATCTAACCTAGCTGGAAATCCGCTAAGAACAAGACATCCCCCAGAAGGTTGCGGGTGGATGGCTCATTCTCCGATTCGCGCGGCAAATGGCGCAAGGCCAGTGAGTTCGATTGAAGCAAAGTAGCCTCAGGCATGAATTCATTCTGTCCCCGAAAGACGGCGACTTTTTGTGGCTGGCAATTCTGTCTTCCATGGTGGATCTGTCATGTCATGCCTTTTTTTTCTGCAGTTTCTTTGTGAACACTGACCGTTGCTCACACGAATATGCGCTCAATAGAGGACTTGGTATATCTCTACCAAAAGCGACCATCGGGGGATAGCAGATGAACAGGCAGCATATCGGACAAAAGATCGGTGATTCTTCCTGATGTCGCCGTGGTTCATGAACAGGGTTTCTGATAGTGTCAGAATATATATCCGCCTTCGAAGGAATGGTCTGTGAGAAGTCCACCTCCACGATGCTTAAGTGATCCCGCAAAGGAAAAGCTTGATACGTGTTTGCAAATATTGCAAAACGGTATGTCGGCCACACCAAACAGCAAGGTTATGGGTCACCTGGCGGGTTCTCAAAACAGTGAACACGGAAGCATGAAGTGTTCGTCCTCACTTAACAAATGGTTCCCCAATACTCACTGCCTGAGTGGATGGCCCAAGAGAGTCCAAACTTGTTGTATGCCACGCATGCCACTAAAACATACAAACATGGTATTCCCAAAACGTACAAAGTCCATGAAATCAGGAAGCGAGAGAAGGCGTTGAGTAGTATCGACAACCAGCCCCTATCCACACCAATCAGGTCAAGACAAGCTGATGCGTGGCAACATTCCGAGGGTACGTTGATAGCTTCATGTAACACTGGATGCATCTTAAACGGAATGAATGGCTGACTAAATACCATTCAGGGAAGCACTTGTCTGGTCGCCCATGAGAATGTGGAAAGCTTGAATGGTATAAGCAAGGACACTAGATATAAATTGTTGGCGGAGGGGTGGTTGATGACCTGCTTGTTTCACATGTTCTTTCTGGCTATCTCGGGCAACACTTAACATGTTGGACTTTTGCCTTCAGACCAGCTATGCACTGGGTATGTGGAGTGTACATCAGCGGCCCTTACCAATATGAAATAGTCTTGTCTAGAAGTCGCAAAAGCAGCCACATTCCCCGAATTTTGGCCACGAGAGTGTCTCCTTCAATGTGCCAAAGGGCAGACGTTTCCCGTGGAATCTCCATCAAACCTATCTCGAAGCTTGGAGAACGGACCGGACTTCGGAACTGCCCCGCGACTCACTTCCTTGCGATCCATAGATATGGTCTGGGCATGGAACAGAAAGGACTTGCCCCGTTCTTGTGTGAATGAACCAAAAGACTCATGATTTTGGCCAATAAGACGCAACCTCACCTTTAAAACAAAACTGCTGGATGAAATTCAAGGAATACTTCCAGCTTCAGTATTCCCTCGAAAGCGGTTTGGAGCCCGGCTTGGAGCTTAGAGGAGGTTTCTTTCCCATTTTCCAAAGGCCAGTTCACCTCCAGGCTCCAAACTAATCCCAGCTATCGGCGACCTGCCATTTTGAAACCGGGCAATGGCCTCGTGCTGAGTGTCGTCACCGAGCACTTCGAAGCCCAGGCCCTGCAAACGCTGCGTCTCCGCCTGTGCTCGCGAGCTCCAGCACCCCACCAGCGGTGTCTCCGTGTCTCAAAGTCCCAAGTGCGCAAACAAAGCGGAGTTTGCCGGGTGGCTGGAAATAAACAGTATAGCTGTTGGAACCTTGACTGAAAATGGACCATGTGAAAACAAACAGAACCAGCGGTCGGTTTTGGGCAAGTTTAACGTAGACCGTAGACCTAACCGAGGGTTTCAGATTTTGGGAACACTCATGTTTTGGGGTTGAGTCTTTGAGAACAAATTGACTCCACTCCGAGCTTTCAGGCAAACAGGCTTGTCTCAAAATAGGATAAGTTTTGAACCTGCGCACTTTCCCTGTGCTTTCGCTTGACAACACACCCACGAAGGATACCTTCCAAACAGACACACCCACAACCCACTCGGTGGGTTGGAGTATCTCCAGCAGCACCCATGTCATGTGCTCAAAGTGGATTGAAGCAGAGCCACTGACAATTCCATCCTAGGTGTTGGCGAGACACCTCGCCCATGTTCTATGTGAAAGAGAGTGTTTTCTTGATTTCCGCGTGATCCACTGTACCACATGCCAACGACATATCCTTCTGGGCCTTGCCAGCCCAGTAAACATCGGCAACCCAGCGCGACCACACGCAGAGGGTTGGGACAGCAAGGTGAAAACCGTTAAAAAGAGTCTTTGAGGATCGGGCGGGGGGTCACTTTTCAGGTCGTGACGCAGTGCGCGCGGGCCGCGAAACCCCCGTCGCGACCGAGGCGTGCAAGAGCCCCATTCACAGGGCCACGTGTTCGGCCTGCTTCTCTTCCCCGCTTCTTTTTCACGCGCAATGCCCTTTTTTAGTCTGAAAGATCACGCGCAAATAAACTGCGGAAGCTCCACCAGTTCCAGTACGGAAGTTCCATCTAAACGTCCTTTCGACTACCTGTGACTTCGAAAAGCTTGTGCCCAGCGGCCAACATTTGGCAAGGCACATGCCCACACAAAAGCAGCGGCGACTTCAAGAATTCCGTGTAAAGGTCCAAACTGCATGCCGTTTGCCCGTTTGCCTCCACAAAGCCGGCGATGGACTCGCTGAGTTCAGCAAAGCTCTGCTCCTGGCAGCCGGATAGGTTCCGCCCATGGGGTTCTTCAGGGAAGGTTCCCCCATGAACTAAAAGCGGGGGGAGGGGGGGACAAAAAAGGCACCAATTCGGTGAAACCAAAATGAGGAGTCATTTATGTCCACCATCCTTGCGGGTGTTTCCTATGAAACTCCCACCAAGGATTGGCAGGCAAGATAATTCAAAAGAAGATTCCACGCGGACATGGCTGCGACTGTGGCTACAACTGTGGCTACCAACTGCTTGCAAAGAAAGTCTAACAATGTTCAGGGGGCTCCAACGCTAAATCTTCTAAGGGATCAACAAGGACCCTGTTGGACCGTAGCCCCTCATTTGTCCCTTGGGGTTAAGGGCCCTGTTTTCAGGGCCTTGCCAACGAAGAGCTGCTCGCTAGCTCCGATACTGACCCCAACATCGTGATTAGTTGGTACTTCAACTGAATGCACTCAACTCAACCCTTTCTGAAACGGTACTTCTGTTGTTCTTGGGCCGGTGTTGTTTCCAAACTCTTGGGCAGCTCAAGAGTCCACATGGATTTGCAGCACAGGCCATTCACCTAGATCAGGTCGCTCCAAATTGGACTGGCCTTCTGCTTTCCCCAGGGACATCTCGTATTGACCGACTTTACATTTTGTTTTTTTGGCGGGATGTTCAGCAAAAAAATCGAGCAATAGTTCAAAGTCCGCTTCTTTTCTTCTCTACAACCAGGGAGCGGCAGTGCGTGAGTCAAGCGAAGCTACGAATAGGACGCGACGCCCCGAAACCTCCGGTCCTCTTGGGTCACAGTTTTCCCTGGCAGCTTATCACTTTGCGTCGCCTTACGCGAACGCCAAGATCGCCTGACCAATGCGCAAGCCGTCAGTCAAGGCCTCATCAAGGCACGAGTCTTAAAGCCAACCGCGTCTAGCCGAGGTCTTCAGAAAATGAAAGAGTTTGCCAGCCTCTTCGCTTTGCTCTTGTGCGCATCAGAAGTTGAGAGGTACCCAAACATCACATTTGGCCAGTAGGGGTTCTTCTGGATGTGGCTTTTTGTA